TCACTTTTCATTAAAATAGAGAGCAAATAGTAATGCCTGTTTATTTTTTAGTGAAAAGCAAAAAAAGTTTGTCCCTTCAAAGTCATGACTCCCAGGGCTAGGAGTGGCAGTATTGGCTGCCCTTTTTTGGTTTGGGCTTTCTCACAATGCCAGCTGTAGGGGCAGAGTCCTTTGCATATGTTCCTGTGACATGGAGGTTGGCTTGAAGCCTTGCCTTTGGGTAAGAGGACCAGCTGAGAGTTGGGGTAACCATCTGAACAGATGCCCTTAGAAATCAAATCGTAAAAATTGAGACTATTAAGCTCCCATTTGATGAATTCTTATCTATTCTAGATCATGTGAACCAGAGCTTCTTTCCAACAGTGCTGTCAGAAAAGGGTGCCTCCTTAAAATATCACCCTGGTAGTTGTGACCCAAGTCCCATCTTTCTCTCTCTGCCTAGGAAAAGTAGGCTAATGAACCCAAAATATCCTTGACTATGGCCCTCCAACCTATTGCTTGAGAGGAAGATGCTGTTAGGGCCTAAGGCAAGTCTTGGTACTCCCCTGGTTTAGTGAAGGTAGTAGTTAAGGTCAACCTTGAACTGTGTGGGCCTAAAGACCATGTTTTGATGTGAATGCTAGCACCAAAATCTCATTCTACAGGGCTGCATTTTCCTTTTCCTTTGACATGTTTTTTTTTTTTTTTTTAAAGAATATTTAACTGAACCTAGTAGATGTGAATTAGGAGATGCTTCCCAAAGTTATTTCACCTCAGGATAGGGATCGGCAAAGTGGGGATGATCCTTTAATCTTTATTGGAGGATTCGGTGGAAAAACTAATGTCAGTGAAAGCACCTGGCACTTAGTGAACTCTCACTACTTCATTCCTGCCGTTTACCTTTGAGGCCAAGCTGGGAATATATGAAATGTCTCAACTTACATTTACATGCAAGAAAAAAATGAGCACCCACAATCACCCCATCAGACCAGGCTCCATCCTCAGGGCTGCATAAGGGCATGCCTTTTCCATTCAAACTGTGGAGCTGTCACCTGGCCTGTGTTCTACCCCCAGCCCAGGTCAGAGCTGGTGGTTCAACCTGGTGTGCCCAGCCACAGGTCACAAGACCATGCTGCATGTGTGCTGCCAGGGGTTTCTAGGGCATCATCCTGCCTTGGGTGCTGGAGTCACACAGTGAATTGCATGCCAGAGGGCTCTGGGCCCTCACAGGGAGTTGCATACCAGATGAACTGTGCACATGCCCCCGCCCACCGTGAGAATCTGAAGTGGACAACTGAAGGACCAGAGTCAGGGGAGAAAGGAGTACAGCTCAGAGCAGACAATAAAGGTGTGAAACTGAAGGTAGACCCAGCCTCCAGTCTAGTGAGTCCCAGATCATTGCACTGCTAGGGCCTTCAACCCCTGGACCCCAAGGCCAGAAAGAGACAGCAAAAATGGGAGGACAAACCCCATTTAGGGAAACCCCCAAAGGAAAGAAAATGAGGAATCGCCAAAAAAGAAACTAAATAAAATGGAGGCAAGCAGTATGTCAGAGAAAGAATGCAAAGTAAGGGTCATACACCTTCTTAACTAGCTGGAGAAAATTACCAACATATGTAAGAACTAAGAGGAAATGAAGTGATCCATATCACTCATGGTTTATGAGTGTATGGTTGAGGATATTGTTTATGAGGAGCAAGAAGGGAAAAGGAAAAATACAGATGACCTCAATAAAGGGGTCAAGGCTAGAAATGTTAATTAGGGAATCTGGTTTGAAATGTTGAGATTGAAGGATCTCTGAGAGAATTTTAAGAAAGGAATAGATTGATTTCTAGAAGTTTCTATTTTGCTTGGTAGTTCAGTTTGTTCATTAAATGCCACATATGAGTGAAATCATTTGCTCCTTGTCTGTTGGTGGTGTTGGGGTGTGGTGTAGAGATGAAGTAAAAAAAGAAAAAAAACTAGAGAGAACCCACAGACATGGACAACAGTATGGTGATTTTGGAGGTGTGAGGGGTTGGGTGAAGAAGGAAGAGGCCATAGAGGGGATACATGGTGATGGAAAGAAAAAGAGAAGTCAGGTAGAAAAAAAGAAAACGAAAAGAAAAAAAATGTGAACCTGGATGATGAACCTATGGAAAGTCAATTATTTTCTATCTTCTTTTGTTCCTGTTAGATATTTTCTATAATAAAAGGTTAAAAAAAGAAAAAAAAAAAACCGTAGTGATAGTGTAGAGAAATTACTGACAGAATGGCACGTATTTCTGTATTTTTTGAAAGGATAGAGGAAAACTGTCAATTCTTTCAACATATCTTTGTTCTATGATATATACTGGAATAACTGGTAAGTAATCTTTCCCCTTATCTGACAGCAGCTGTTTTCCCTAACTACATGGGAACTAAAGAGGGCACAAGGACCCAGGTCCTATGCACAATTTCATTTACCTTTAATAGCTTTCCAACCATTGACTTTTCTATTAACATACATAATTCCAACAGATTTCTTTGGGACTTTGCATTGCTGAATGCAATATAAAGGAATTGTAATAAACACCACCAAGACCTAAAAACTTGGTCTCTGCTCTTGAAACATGTAAGAATTAAGAGATCAAAATACCTTAGATGTAACTAAATTGTGCTGTAAGCCTGAGTTCTTTCTTAAAAAGAGTACTAAATGAATAAACTTAGGTGCCTTATTCATTGAGCACAAAAGATGTTACTAAATAAGGTACTTTAAATAGCTTTTCCCCCTATTACCTCCACCTATATTAATAATTTTTAGATCAGTTCTAGAAGTTAATCATAGTAATGGAACTTATGTTTTTGGGGGTGGGATGTGCAGACTCAAGGATATTTTTAGGAAGAGAAAAATTTTTGGTCTATTGATAAATCATAGTCCTTTATAGCAGAGACCTGAAAATGTCCCTTGATCAAGACTTTATACTAGAAAAAGTGTTGGAAAATGGTGGTCAGGAAAACCTTTTCATTGGACAGATACCAGTCTGTACATAACTCTAAATCAACAAAAGTATTTTCATAAATTGGGATAGAATATTTAAGTTCAAATCCCAGCTCTATCACTAGCTAGTTGGTTGATCTAGAGCTAGTCACAGTTAATCACTTTGTACCTAGTTTGCTAGTCTTTGATACCTACACCTCAGGATTACTAAGTCTGAGATAAAATGTATGTCAGAATTCTTAGAATAGTGCCTTGTACAGTGTTATGTATTGTTAAAGAGGAATTTTGTCACAAATGTAAATTTTAACATGAATCCACCTTCATACCTAAACAACTTTTTATAAAATTTGTGTTTTTAAAAAAAAATTGTATAGAGTTTACAAGCACATATTTTTTATACAACCTTGTAAGTGCCTTTCTAGCGATGACAACTTCCCCATGACAACATCCCTCTCCAGAAGGAAAACAAAACAAGAAAAACGCCTGGTACGGAGCCCAATTCCCACATCATGGATGTGAAATGCCCAGGATGCTATAAAATCACCACCGTCTTTAGCCCTGCACAGTTTTGTGTGTTAGCTGCTGCACTGTCCTCATTAGCCTAAGCTATTCCTAAGCTGAAGGAAAAAACTATAAGGAGTAATTCAGAGACCGTTCCCAAGAATTTTCTCCAATGAAATGCAGACTAGGTGAGTTGGATGCGTTGACTCCTTGCCAAGTAAGATATAATCTATATATTAAAAAGGCTAATATGCAAAGTGTCCCCTCGGGAGTTCAATCACTTGCTATGATGTGTGCTGACCACTAGGGGGCGGCACAAAACAAAGGCCCCAGATGGCAGGCCTGCTAGCCAGGCCTAGATACCCTACCTGTGCACGAATTTTCTTCAATAATTTCCCATCGATACTTGAAATGTTTGAGTTTAAAATAGGGAAAGGAAAACAGGTTAAGGATAAAAATAGATTTCAAAGCAGTATCCAAATAACATGTAATGAAGTAAGAGGGAAGACTCACTGCTACTGTGCATTAACTATCAGAGTCACTTCACTCACTCGACTATGTCTATAGAAAGTATAATTTTAGAGCTGAATATAAAAGCATCACACATTTAAAATGACCAAAAAGCATCTTTAAATAAAGTACCTTTCCCCCACTTTTGGCCATTAATTCCAGTGAGTGAACTCTCACTTGTATCAAAGTACTTAAGGCCATACACTTACCCACAAATTTGCCAACTAATAACTTTAAAAGAAACGATCAGCACTTATCCTTCTAGTGTTAAACTTTGCTTACTAAAAGCTATAGATATTGCCATCTTACAGTCTTCTAATAGAGAAGCAGCTCTGAGCTTACTAAACTAGTAGGAATATGACAAGAAAACTCTTGGGATTACTGAAATAGCTGTTTTAACTACTAGAAAGACTACACAGGTGGTTCAACAGAATTTACTTGTATATTTTCCATTTTCTATCCTACTTGAAGGCATAGGATAGCTTTGTATTAGCTTTCTACAATACCATGGTTTAAATGTAAACTAGATGCAATACAACTTTTATACAACTTAGGAGATTAAAAAATGTCTGCCTTGCTCGTCCACTGAAATTCTTATTCATTGCTAATAGTGGGGTATGGATGTTTGGTAAATGCTTATGCTTTTACTCTCTTCATTATCAAAAGTCTTTTAAAGTGCTATCAAGCAGCAAATAAGTTGCATCACCTCTCTGCTCATTAAAGGTAAAGGTGCTAATTCCTCATGGTAGAGGTGCAAAATTGTGAACTCACAAGAGGCACAGTTTAACAGTAAGTAGAGCATGAAGAAACAGTAAAAGTGGCCTAAGTACAGAGTTGGACAGAACAAACCAATTTATAACTGCTCAATTGAAAGCAATACAGGTGCATTCAAAAATGAAGTTTGAGATTTTAAGTGTTTAGAATCAAATTTGAAGAATTTCTTGATAAAATATAAATCTGTTCTTTTGAAATTGGAAATGAAACTATCAATTGATTGAGAACTAGAGACTTATTAACCCCTCCTACATAGATAAGGAAATAAGTGACAAAGTCTCTTGAAGTTATGTATTTTAACAGCTTTACATGTAATATTCATATATAAAAAACTTTAAGTGCTTTTCTCCAATTTAAAAATCTAAAGAATTCAAAAATAAGGCATTCAATATTTGAAAAAAGTACAGATTTACAAAATGTGTATATTCTGTCATGAAAACTCCACACCAACATTATACACTTGGAAAAAAATACAAACAGGATATATTACAAATTTATGTAAGCAATAACTTAGTTCACACCATGCAATAAAAAGTACATTAATCAAGATACACAAGCTTTTATAGGTTCTAAACTGAAGGACTTTTCTTCTGCAGAATCCTTAAAACTGGTGGCACTTAAAATTTGTTAGCCTTTCTACTGAGAGGTAAATTATACACAACAATGATGAAAAAGATTAACAGACCAGTTGTCTATTATGAATCATTCCAGCTTTGTTCAACAATGGCTGAAACTCTTTTCTCATATTCTCGTTTGTTTTCCTGATAGAGTTGTGCTGCCTGGCTATTAGCTGGACTGTTTGGATTTGGTTCATCCAGCAGAGACTAAAAGGAAAGAGAGAGAAAAAAAATAGAGTTGCAGAGTTGTTCTTTGCATTAACAGGGGTCAGATAAGGAGCACAGAAGTTATATAAAATGGCAGAAATTAGTATGTCTTACATATTTTTAGGTCTAAATAATTTCAGAAATGGCTTGATAAATACATTGAGAAGATTCCTACTGCTAGAAAAAAGCTTCTAAAACAGATCACTCTCAATTGCTTTAAGACCTTTGGAATAAATTGGAAAAGAATATCTTCCTTAGCCTACTAACATTAAAGTAGGAAGCGAGCAGTTTGATTTGCAGATTTGGTTAATATACACCACCTATAAATAGCTTAGTAACAAACCTTTTCCAACATTAAGCTCTATTATTGTAGTTATTTGGCAAATGTCTCACTATAAGTTAAATAATCTTGTTTCCTTTAATCAATAAAACATATCTAGCAGCAAAGGGATGAAATAGGAAGGTTAAAAACAATGTTTATAAGATGACCCCAATTAAAGCAAAGCTTTAAAAAGGTCACAAACCAAAACATTACTTCTGCTCCTCTCAAATCCACATAACTAAAACATACCTCTCTCCACTGTGAAATATTCTGCCAGAGTGCTTTGGCAAATAGTTATGCTACTTTCTTTTACATATATGCTAGAGGCCCGGTGCACAAAATTTGTGTGTGGGGGATGGAGGGACCCCTTGGGGGATGTCTGACTACAGTCAGACATCCCTCTTGCAATCCAGGACCGCTGGCTCCTAACCACTCACCTGCCTGCCTGCTGATCACCCCTAACCACTCTGCCTGCCAGCCTGATCGCCCCTAACTGCTCTCCCCTGCCGGCCTGTCCCTAACCACTCTCCCCTACCGGCCTGATCGCTCCAACCGCCTCTGCCTCGGCCCCCACCACCATAGCTTTGTCCGGAAGGACGTCTGGAAGGATGTCTGGAAGACTTTCAGTCTAATTAGCATATTATCCTTTTATTAGTATAGACAATTTCTTGGATGGGGCAGTATTCTCAATTCTCTGCACTTGGCAGTTTCTTGAGGTCCCTATGGTTTTTTTTTTTTAAGCAATCATCTTTTATCTTTCCCTGAGATTTTTCATTCTTCTCCACAACTTCTGGCTATACTTCATGGGCACAAATACTTGGCCTGTGAGAACATTAACTTACACATAAACAGGAAAATAATTGTGGATTTGATCTCAGGTGGTCACTAATGAAAAAGGAGACCAGACATCTGAAAATCATGGGTTTTTTGTCTGAGCTCTGCCACTGGTTATCTCAGAGCTGGGAAAGTTAATTTGCTCACTCCGTCTTTAGATTATGCTTAAAAGAGCTGATTGGATACCACAGAGTCTTGAAAAACTATGATGCATCTTAATACACACTTACCTGAATTGAGGTTAAAATAGAAGATACATCATATGTTGGACTCCATCGATTCTGAAGGATATCTAAACATATGCTACCATCAGCATACACTGCAAAGACAACACTAAAACTGGTTACATACTAACTTTGTCATATCTATTAAGAGAAAGCTTTACCACAAATAGAACGCTTGGCCCACACAGAAGTTTTGAAAATTAGGCAATAACTAAACCCCATCCTCACAGGAAAACCAGTCCTAAATAAGGTCTCTTATTTTGTACCTTCTCATGAGGAGGCTGGGTGGGAGTTAAAACTTTTTCACCATTCCATATAGTAAATCTGTTTAAATTCCCTATTTCTAAATATTCTTAAATAAAGTTGTTTTTTTTTGGGGGGGGGAGTTTATTTATTTAAAAATATATATTTTATTGATTTCAAAGAGGAAGGGAAAGAGACAGAAATATCAATGATGAGAAAGAATCATTGATCAGCTGCCTCTGGCACATCCCACCCACACTGGGGATTGAGCCCACAACCCAAGCATGTGCCCAGACCGGTAACTGAACCTGGGACCCACCCTTCAGTCCACAGGCCGACGCTCTAGCCACCGAGCCACACCAGCTAGGGCTAAAGTTTATTTTTTAACACAGCAATTTCACTCCCAGAAATTACTCTAAAAGAAATAATCATGAACATACAAAATTTTATTTACAAATGTTCACTATAACACTCTTTATAAGTGTGAAAAATTGGAAACCACCTTGTGGCCCATAAAGAGGGGACCTGCTAAATGCTACATTCATATAACCACTGCCACACTAGTCAACAGAAATGATACACATCTACCCTATGTTAACTAATGTAGAAAGACATCCATAATATATTACCTTAATACTGTAATTTTCCAATTTATATAGGATAATATAATTCCATTTATAGTAAAAAATTATAACTATCTTCATTTGAGGTGTATGCAGTTGCAAAAACATTTGTAAGATTAAGTGTCAAAATGTAACTAGCAGATAACTGTGATAGTAGAATTATGAAAGATCTTGTTTTATCTTTTCTTGTATTTTGTGATGTTTTTGCATTGAGTATACATTCCTTTTATAATTAAAAAATAAAAGTAATTAACAAGTTTTAGAAGTCTTTAGAGCAAGCCAGATCACTCTACATAAAAACAGCAATGCAGCTTTTGGGAGCAGGGGGAGAAGACGAGGCAAAGTATACTTAAATGCTGTCATACCACATATCCTTCTTACCCATTACTATCCATGTGCTAGGTACTTCCAACTGTTAGCTTTAGACCAGATCGTAAAACTCAGCTTAAAAACAAGTCAATTTACTTACTATAAATCCAAAGGAACATCACATTTAGGAAACCCAGGGCAAATATCACACCTCTGTAAATCCCATGAAAGTATAAAATGATTTTTAAGTTTTGAACTAGTAACTATTTTTGAGAAGTAATCAAAAAGTAAACAAGCCCTAACTGGTTTGGCTCAGTGGATAGAGCAAGGGTCCCAGGTTCGATTCCGGTCAAGAGCATGTACCTTGGTTGCGGGCACATCCCCAGTTGGGGGTGTGCAGGAGGCAGCTGATCAATGTTTCTCTCTCATCGATGTTTCTGGCTCTCTATCTCTCTCCCTTCCTCTCTGTAAAAAAATCAATAAAATATATTAAAAAAAAAAAAGTAAACAAGAAACCTAGGAACTGATGAATAAATAAAGTGCACTATATCCATACAATGGAACATCACTCACCATAAAAGAAAATGAAGTAGTTATGTGTTACAACATAGATGAACCCTGAAAACTAGCTTGCTAGCTGAAGTTAGTCACAAAGAACCATTTATATTACATGATTCCGTTTATGTAAAGTCTCCAGAATAGGCAAATCTATAGAAACAAAAAATAAGTCCATGGACTGCTAACAGGTATGGGATTTTTGGGGGAGGGTCATAAAAAAAGGGTTCTAAAATTGGCCCAGCCGCATGGCTCAGTGGTTGAGCACTGGCCTATGAACCAGGAGGTCATAGTTCGATTCCTGGTCAAGGGCACATGCCTGGGTTGCAGGCTCGATCCCCAGTAGGGGGCATGCAGGAGGCAGCCAATCAATGATTCTCTCATCATTGATGTTTCTAACTCTCTGTCCCTCTCCCTTCCTCTCTGAATTCAATAAAAATTATTAAAACAAACACTGAACTGTATATTTTAAATGGGTAAAGAGCATGGCATCTCTCTATATAAAACCCTAATATGCAAATAGACTGAACGGCAGAACAACCAAACTGAACAGTCGTTATGATGTGCACTGACCACCAGGGGGCGCAAGTGGAACATGGTGGGCATTGGCTGCAGCGGGATGGAGGAGCAGGTGAGCGGGGGGTGCCAGACCAAGGTGGGGTGCTGGTCGCTGTCATCGGGGCAAGCCTCTGGTGGTTACTGAAAATTCTTTGCTCCCGTGCTCTGTGGTCCCATCTGGTGCTCGCACCTGCTGCTGGCACCAGCCCTGCTCACACCCACTGCTGGCGCCAGAACCGCTGCCGGTGCCCAGCGCTGGCCCTGATTGCCCCTGAGGGTTTCTCAACCTCCCCCTGCTCCTGAGGGGCGATTTAGGGAGCAGCTGCCCCTCGCACTTGCTGACAACTCTGGCCCTGCTTGCACCCACTGCTGGTGCCAGCCTGAATTGCTCTGCACTGTCAGGGGGTGCGAGTGGGGCCGGCACCATCAGTGCATGGGAGCAGTGGTGGCAGGAGCGGGGCTGCCAGCAGACAGGGAACCAGGGGCCGCAGTGGGAGGGGCAAGGCAGGGGCGCAGAGGATGGGCCAAGACCCGTCCTATGCCCACCTCAGCCTCGCAGTCCACAGTTCCTTTCAAGGTGTATGAATTCGTGCACTGGGCCCCTAGTATGAATTATATTTCAATAAAGATGTTAATAAAGTAAACCAGGAAGTTAACAATAAAAAAGTACTGATAGCAGAAAAAAGGGAGACGATGCTATTAATATTAAATGATCAAAAATAACAATATAGTTTCTCCATAAATCTATTAATCCTACACCTATACACATATACTCCCTGTGCATTCTACAGTCTATTCCACCTTGATTTACAGAGCCCCCTTACTATAATTTGGATTGATTCAATATAAAGTCTAAGCCATGATAAAGCAACAGCAGAGTAGTAAGCAACTTGGGAATTTCCCCAAAACAGAAACAAAACATTCAATTAAACCTGTCTTGGCTTTAAAAGAAAAAAAAAAATGGCAGCTGGAAGGAAAAAGCAAAAGAAATTAAATCTATTATTGGGAAGTCACACTGGTTCCACGTACGCAAAAAGACTCCTCTGAGTAGGGAGCTCTACCTGCCTATAGCCCACTCATGCAGTTTGCAGTGCTAGACTTCATGCAATCAGAAAGACTTCTGAATATGTGCCTTCTGAAAAGAAGTTAACTGATGAGGAAGATCACATTGAAATGAGCAAAAGGTTACAAAAAGAGAGCTTAAATATTTTGGAAAATAAGTCTTTCAGACAGTAATTTATAATCCAGGAATAATATATTAAAAGTAAAGAGCACAAAGTCAGGGAAAAACAAATTTAACTACAAAAGGGTCCCTCAGCAATCATTTATGAAAAATAATAAAATAAACTTCTGAAAGTGAAAATAGGAATGAGAAAAAAAGAGTAAAACTATTTTAAAAAGCCTTAAAAATACACAAACCTTTGATCCAGTAATACCACTTCTAAAAACTTATTCTAAAGAAATATTCAGGAGTATTTGAGAAGATTTATTTTCAAGAATATCAAAAGTGCTGAAAACCAACAACTGGACACTGATTAGATAAGTTATGGCAAACTCAGAACATTTTGTAGCCACTAAGAATGGTGTAGAAATATTTAATAAGGGAAAATGTTCATAGTATATAAAAAATTAGGTACTTAACTTTATTCAGAACATACCAATTTTGTACAAGCATTTATTTGTGTTTTTAAAAGCTAAATTTTAAGTGACAAATTCTTTTCCACATCTTTCACAGTTCTACAAATAAATATTACTTTAAAATCAGAAGTTATTAAAACAAATTTATCTCAAATTTGGAACCTTGGTAAGATTTGTGACTAATACTGATCCGGAAACAACATCTGGAAATGGGCCCTTGGAGTGAGAACTATGGGGTAAGACCTAGAAGGAAGGAAACAAGCTTTTCCCCCCTCCCCTTTATCATTTGCAAAGTCAAACAAAGTTGCTACTTACCATTTGGATGAAACATTTTGGATAAAAACCTAACAGTTGGTGGTTTATTTGGATATTCTTCAGAAAATTCTATTACTAGCTTGAAAGTACCTAGATAGAAAACAAACCAAAATAATTATAGTTCAGACAAGCATAACTTTTAAATCTCTTCATCAATGAATTTTCAACCCATACTGGTTTTTGCACCACATAAAAATTCATGTGAATTTTGGTTTAGCATATGAAACATACTAATATACTTCAATTTATGTCAGAATGACAACACACATTGCATTGGCAAGCATAGGAAACTAACACTTTCACATACTATTGGTGGGAATGATAACTGTTACATTTTTAAAAGGCAATTTGGTTCTAGCTACTAAATTTAAAATGCACATTTGGACAATTTATTTTAACTTAGAAGAGGGGAGGGTGCCCAGAGGATTTTTGAGAGTTGGTGACTACCACATACAAAGGACTCAGATTGGAGACTTGGGAGCTAATGTAAAAGGTCTGTTCTGTCCCATAAGGCTCCCTTCACTTAAATATGCCAAGAATCAGTACTGGTAAGCATAAGTGTAACTGCCTACTATTGTTGGTTATAGACCAACATAGTACATTTTGGTCAGTCTATATCAGTATTTTTTGGTCAATAGAAGCATAGGCATTTTTTTAAAATTATGCATTTTAACAAAGAAAATCTGTTCACAGTAAACAGAAAAGTTAAGAACTCTCAACTCCAATTTCAAATCCATTTCACAGAAATAACACTACTAGTGGTTTGGGGTTTGTTTTTTTAGACTTCTTTTGTGTTTATTCACTATCCAAAGTCCTTTTATTTTGAGGAAATTCACCTTAAAGGTGAGTAGCTTAGAGAGGTCCTCCCTCTAACTACAACCCCTTGGAAAAACTTATTCCTAACAAAGTCAATGAAAGTTTAAACCATTCCATGTGTCTCTACACAGTTCTTTCCCTTATGCCACCAATGCCACTTTTTAAAAAAAATGCCAACTATAACTAAAAAAAATATTTAAAAATAATCTACTAAAAAATAAAAATTTAAAAAATAATCTAAACAACAAAACCTTAACGTAATTCTAAGCTCCTGGCTTCAGTTTACTAACATAAGAGGCATGTATTTAGTAAAATATTTTATTCTTTATCTTCTTCACTACTCATATTTGATATTCAAACTCTACCTCTTCACAATTTTTTGTTTGGAAATTTGGAATTAGGGAGGTTAAAGATATAAGCAAAATAATAGGTGGTATCTATTTCGTATTTTGATATATTAATAGAGGTACTATGAAATGTATAGTGAAGACAGCCTTATACCTATGTATTTTTAAAGTTTACATTTTAATTCTCTTTAATTACAAAAATGTACTATGTAAAAATTTCAAGTAAACACAAATATGAAACAGCTATTTTTAAGTTCTCCCCCTATTGTGGGGTCTCCGGACCCCCCTTTTTTATTAATCTTCACTTGAAGTTATTTTTCCAATGAAATTTAGAAAGAATGGAAGAAACAATCACAATTATGTAAATGAAAACATCGATGTGAAAGAGACATACATCGATTGGCTGCCTCCCACACTGGCCCTGATCAGGGCCAGGCATCCAGCCTTGCAACGAGGCACACGCTCTTGACAAAACCAGCAGGCTCTATCCACGGAGCCAAACCGACTAGGGCTCAGGACCCTTTTTACATTCTCATTCCACCAAGCTTCAATGTGAAGTCACTGAATGTGAAGCTGGAAAGAGATGCATGCAATAGCATACTATTTTATGGTATCTCCACCAAAAATAAAAAATAATTTCATTTTAAAATATTGGCTCTCTAATAATCAGCTTGCAAAAATTCCCAAAACTTTTAACAATCTGTTTTTACAAATCAGTACAAGCTGCCCCCAGCACACCAGTGGCTGTAACTACCAATATGTGTTGTATTAGAAATTATAACTCAGAAAAATCTTAAAATATATATCAAGAACTATAAACTTATTACACATTTACCTAAGTAACATTTAATGAGAAAAAACAACAACAAATATCTTCTCACCAAGTTAGTGAGAAAAGTGAAGTATTGTTTTATATTTTTTGCAAATCTCTTTAATGACTATCTTAACAGAAGACAGCTGGATTCTCTTAGCTGCTTCTGTATTCAATCTGTTGCAATATGCTGTTTTGGTTGAGGAACATGAAGATCAGGCATCACACAATTATATAAATGAAAAGGAAGGGAGTACTTTCATAGCCTTTTCAGATAACTAGGTGTTTTTTATATTACACCAAAGAAATGGTAAGTTTTTAAAGGTTAGTTGCAATTAGAATCTGAAGCCATGTAAATAAAGCTTTACGTCATCCACATTTGGAAAACATTGGTTCACTGTCCAGCTGCTCTTGTTGGCCTCACAGCTCACTTAGATCACTTTTGAGAATACACCTGCCAAATACTCAAACCTAAATAATCAGTTTGTCTGTCAGTCATTCTTTCAAGTAAGAATGTTCCATGAAAAAAGCAGTAGTTCAAGTTGCAACTCAAACAACTGCAGAAGTATTTTTCCTCCAGACAATCATCATATTTGGTATACAAGAAAAGTGCTGTATACATACTTCTCACTTCATCACACAGAACATTAAAAAGATGTATACTCAAGGATCAGAATTTAATAATATTAATAATTTCCACTTTTTCACCAAGAGATTAAGTGAAACTGGCATTTTTTAAAATATAAAAAGTACCACTTAGTACAGTTTGGTGCCACTGTCTTGATTTATGCCAAGACACCAAACTGCTTAGGTCCTGGTTTTAGTCAATAATGCTTTTGTACCACCAGTACAAATGTCAATACAGTGAAAAAAGGTAAATGTCTCAGTATTGGTATGAACACAGTTTTGATCACATTGAACCCCTGAAAGGGTCTTAGGGACCTTAAGGGGTTTTTGGACCACTCTTGAGAATAACTTGGTGTAGAGTAAAAAGCTTAAGTCCTTAAGTACCTCTATTTAATTCCTAACCCTGACCTAGAGGTAACCACTGGTAACAGTGTGGTACATAATCCTTTAACATGACAGACACACTTGCATATATGTACTATTGCAACATACATTATTCTGTAACATCATTTGGTCTACCTTATTCTTTAACAGGTATATAATACTCCAGAGTCTAGCTAAACCATAATTTGCTAACCATTTCCTCTATTGGGCATTCAGGTTATCTCCTTAAAAATGGTGCTGCAATCAATATCTTTGTACAAATATCTTTGCTACATTAATGATGAAGCCATTTTGATAATTAAAACAAACCTGTTTAACAATTCTTTTTTAGAACTGGAAATTTGCTTTTTTTAAAAAATAACATATTTTTAAAAAGTATGCAAGAATGCTGTTTACAGGTGTTGAATGCCAGTTGTATATGAAATTACTGGCAGCTTTGTGTATTTAAGAACAATTTCAGCTCAACATCCTATCAATACAGATGACAAAGTTAAAAAAAGGAAAAAAAAAAAAAGCACGATTACCCTCTCCTAGTGTTTACCACAGGAACATTGTTAGCATGCTACAAAGATCATCCAAATTTAAACTATTATCAACACAGGTCCTATGATCTAGGCTTAAGGTTCTACAGCCAAATATTAAGGTAATAGAGTGGTAACAAAGGTGATCAAGCTGATGGGAGGAGAAAGTCTTGTAAACTCAGTAGCAGTATTTAATTTTAATTTGACCTATTAACAATAAAAAACAGTTTGAAGTAGATACATTGGTGTTATAATTTTCTACTTTTGTTGTTGTTATTAATCCTCACCCAAGGATATTTTTCCACTTATTTTTAGGGAAAGTGGAAGAGAGAGGGAAAGAGAGAAACATCGATGTGAGAGAAACACATCCATTGGTTGCCTCCTGCAAGAGCCCCCACCAGGGCCCAGGCGGGGGGGAGGGGGGGGGGAGGTATGTGCTTCTGATCGGAATCGCACCTGGGACACTTCAGTCTGCAGGCCAAGCCAAACCAATTAGGGCATAATTTCCTACTTTTTAAAAAGCCTCTTAACACTGTAGAAAACATAAGGAAAATGACTTACCATCTTCAAAGGGTGTCCCTTCTGGTCTGAAAACAAGAAAATTTCTGATTAAAACACGTTTTTCATTCTTTTGTTCTGCTTTTTCCTGATTTTCAAGAGTGGAAAGGATAAACTCAAACAGAAAGAGGGGCTCATCCTGACAATTTGTGGAGTTTTTAAGATAGTGTTAATTTAGTATCATCTTAGGCCTAAATTTTTACAGATTTAGGCATAAAAGGTTAACTTTTATTTTCTAAGTTTTCCTTTTAGGGTAGCTTTACACACACACACATACACACAAAAAATGTATCATAATTTTAGCACAAAAAGAATTCAGCTCCCAAATACCAACAAGTTATTTAGTAAATATGTGCATTTTTAAGAGAAAAGGTCCTATTTTAATTTACATCAGTAAGATGGAAATCAATACCCTTTAGTTTAAGTATGTTACCAAAACAGCATGTTCTGCTTTTTAAAAAAATCCTCACCCAAGGGTATGATGTTCATTAATTTTAGTGAGGAAGGGAGAGAGACACATAGATGTGAGAGAGGAACTTCGATTGGCCGGGCCTTTAAGAGCCTTGACTGGGGATGGAACCTGAAACCTAGGTATGTGCTCTGACTGGGAATCAAACCCACAACCTGATACGCATTGGATGATGCTCTGAGCCCCTCTGCTAGGGCAGGTATGTTCTATTTTTCAACAGAGCAATTTCTAGTTCAAACTGGATAGACATAACTAAATCAAGAAAGCCAGTTTCTTTTGCTCAATCTTTTCCTGGCCTCCATACCCCAATTTCATTTTTCCTAAGCAGCAGCATGAAGTTTATTACTTGCAAGGCATATTCAGGTCTCAAAGAAGCATGTTCACAGCCTGAACTTAAAATAATAACTTTAGAAGGAGAACTACCCTCTTTTTCCCCACTAGTTTTTAAGGCAGACTCTTACTTGTAACTAATTCAGAGGCAACTCAGAACTGTTTATGAAAATATTCCCCTTTAAAATTAAAGATCTAGCACAAAGCCCTAGTTTTTAAAAAAGGGTGAAATAAAAAAAGATCAATTCTGAGAAAACCAAAGAAAAGGCATAAGGAAATTTTAAATTAAAAAGCATATATGCAATATATATGTAGAATGTAAGACAGCTTCTCAGAGACTTCATTCAGCTACAGGCATACTCATTTTATTGCACTTCACAGATGTTGCCTTTTTTTATGAACTGAAAGTAAGGCCCTCCACCAGCCAAAAAAAAAATTGCTTTATTGTGGTAGTCTGGAAGCAAACCCACAGTATCTCTGAGGTATGCCTGTATTTCATACTGGGCTATGAAACGTTTTTTATTTAAAATCTTGTCATAGTCTAAGTTCTCAATGTTTTTGTTCCTAGCCTTTTTATAGTTCTAATAAATACAAGCAAAAACACTTGCTTGGCACATTTTGTATAAAATCATTTATCTCCTCTCCTTTAGTTTCAAATGGTATTTTATAAAGTAAAACCCAAAGTTGTTATAAAATCTTATGTATTTTTAAAAAATATATTTTTATTGATTTCAGAGAGGAAGGGAGAGGGAGAAATAGATCAATGACGACAGAATTATTGATTGGCTGCCTCCTGCACGCCCCCTACTGGGGATCCAGCCCGCAACCTGGGCATGTGTCCAGACTGGAATCGAACCCGGGACCTTGAATCCACCAGCCGATGCTCTATCCACTGAGCTAAACCAGCTAGGGCTATAAAATCTTATGTATTAATTGCAAATGCAAATAAATTTTATGTAACCGATAAAACTTTTATGGCAATGGTTTTTCTAATTTACTTTGCAGTTTCTGTAAGGTCCCCATTCCACCTCAGTCTCTTTTCCTAGTTGCTCATTTTTAAAAACTCACCACACCTAGCAGTTGTTTTATCTTTCAACTCACCCAAATATAACTGCATTCCACTGCATGATGTTGTTTTCAGATGGTGCGCCACTGACACCCACAGGTGGGTCCTCTTGCAATCTAGAAATCCGTAGTAGTAATTTTAAAAGTTGAACATTTGGGCCACTAAAAAGGCCAAATAGAACACCTATAGACTCTATACCAGCTGTGGGCAAACTACGGCCCGCGGCTGGATCCGGCCCATTTGAAATGAATAAAACTAAAAAAAAAAAAAGACCGTACCCTTTTATGTAATGTTTACTTTGAATTTATATTAGTTCACACAAACACTCCATCCATGCTTTTGTTCCGGCCCTCCGGTCCAGTTTAAGAACCCATTGTGGCCCTCGAGTTAAAAAGTTTGCCCACCCCTGCTCTATACTATCTGCTCTGAGACACAAACAAAACCTATTTCCTTGTTCTTACGCTGAGCTGGAATAAACCATTTGACAATAAAAAAAACTTGCCCAGGTACATACTTATTAGATACCACTACAAATCATCTAGAATGCTAAAGGGCTTGGGAGTATCCCTCTTCAATTACCATCAAGATTAAGATATCTTTCAACAACTAATATATGTATAGGCTGCCCTCAACCAAAAATAAAAAACCTCAAGTGCAAAAAACATTTTAACAGAAGCATCTATTTTGCTGCTGTAATGCAGACTGTGAGTGCTAAGGATGGCTATTTGTGCAACATGGCCACCAACCTCCTCCTCCTCAAAACAAAAAAATCCTCAGTGTGACCACTAAAGGACTGAAAACACTTAATTCAATTTGATTAGGAAAGTAGTTTCAGGCAGGAGAGCTACTTTATCCCATTTGCTTCAATTAGCAATGGCTTTCAGAGTAATCAAAATTGCTTGGTTTTCCGTCAGTCCTTATTTTAAAGGCGCTGCACGAACACTAAACCTACCTCTGAGAGCAGGAGACTCAATACAAAACTATCTTCCAACATCAGTCAAATTCTTGTAACCTGAGGACCCTTGGGAAATTACCAAAGGCACCCTGTGTCCAATACAGAATAAAGCAGAGAATCACAGCAAATCAGGGTAACAATAGACACGAACTGGAAGTTTCATTATTTGAATTTCACTCATCTGAATTTCAGCTAATTTGAAATCTACTGATTTCAAGCTTTAGATGACTTTTACATGAAATAGGGCATCTCCTTTCAAAGACTCAGTAAAAAATAAACGCTGTATTTTCTCTCTCTCTCTCTCTCTATATGTGCAGTGATTGTCATGTAGTATGATACTTTCAAATCAGTCCACATAAAAACAGTTATTTTTAGTCAGCCTGGGCCACGAACAGAAGCCTTACAGGAATGATGATGCTGGACGCCCACCAAAGGTAACCGGCTGGGAGAAGTGACAAATATATTCAATGATGATAAACTGGTCAAAGCCCAAAACAATGGCTTCCAAGGCCTCACCTACGATTTTATCATGGCCAAGTTGAGAGGTCACTTCCTGAGCCGCTGATTTAAGTTTCTATACTACAGATTTCGTCTCAATCAGGGCAGGTCTCAGAAAAACAGAGGATCGCAATGCCAAGTTTTCTATTACTTTCCCCCCACCGTACCATAAGTAAAAGGTAAACAACTGGAAAAAAAAAAGTCCCTTCCTCCTCACCACCCCCCACCCCTCCTAACAAAACCCTGTTTTACAAAAGGAGGCCCTGGGAAGATCAGGTTAGCGCCGGCATCGGGGCAGGCATTCCTCCAGGCTTTGGAGACTATAGATAGGGCTTTATGCACCAGGCCCGGAGCGGAGTTCCAGAAGGTCCTGGCAGCCGGCGCTGCCAGCTCGGTCCCAGGCCTGAGCCAGTTCTCAAGGTCCTGGCCGGCCGGCGGGCGGGGGAGGGGGGGAGTCGGGTTTCGGGGGATGGGTTAACCACCTCCGACCTCCGGAGGCTGACCCACCCTCCCTGCAGAAAGGGGGGGGGGATGCTTTTCGCCTCCACCCTGCCCCTCCGAGGAGACCGCAGGCCCGTCGAGCCAAGTTCACTGGTGGAGTCAGCGAGGAAAAAGCTTCTGCAAGGGCTCCCTTTGGGGGTCTCGAGAAGGGGTACCGCAGGGTGCAGGCGCGGGGGTAAGGTTTCAACGGCAGGGCGACAAGTCAGGCAGCTGGCCCAAGCGGGCAGCGGGGAATCCTAGGTGCACACAGCCTTTTTTTTTTTTTTTACTTTTGGGGAGGGAGGGAAAGCGGAGTGAGAAACCAAGGATGAACGAGTGCGAACGGGGGTCGGAACTGGCCTCCCGTCGCTCCCGGGGGCCCACAGCCGGCCATCTGAGGACCCAAGAGGAAGGTGTCCCGGATCCGCGTCCGGGAGGCCCGCAGCTTCGGGGAGGAGCCGTCGTCCAGGCGGAGGGGAAGGGCCTTACCGCTTGAAATCCCGCATGAGCCTCCTCCGGGCGGGGGTCGACATGCTCCACAGCTGCCCCGCACTCCGTCTGAAAGAAAAGAGTCCCGCGCGGCCCCCCCACCCCCCGGCGCGGCGGCCGAATCACTGCGGGTCACCGCCACGGAGGCTGCACAAACAACCCCGCAATGACGTCTCCCTCCGCCGCCTCCAGATCCCTCCGCCCTCCGCCAGTACCACGGCGCGAGGGGGGGAGGAAAGGGGGAGGGCACGGGTGAGAGCTCCTGGGGTAGCTTTTCAACAAGATCCTGCCATTGGTGCTCCCTGAACTAATTGGAAAATGAGTATTCTCTGTGTTCAGACTAGATATTGTGGGTTAGGAGACAACAAAGCCGAAACACCACCCAGATGCGTCCCCTTTCATTAGGTTAGGTCCGACCGAGTGGGGAGAGGGGGACGCAAGCGGGTTGGAGATTTCAGGCGAAGGAGGTGGGATGACGTAAGGTCACGTGATCTACCGGCGGCGATGTCAACAATCCACCCCTGAGGGGGAGGTGGCGAAGTATCCAGAACCACGTGCCCCTATGACGTGATTAGAACTGGTAAAGCGAGAGCTACGCTGCACCTGAGTCTCGGCCAGGTATTTGAAGCAGGTAGTTAAACTGACCGGATGGGCATACACCTGTATTAGTTTTCCAAACATTTGGTCCCATGAACAGGGAGGGCAATGGGAGAGGAAGAGGTTCTGGGAAGCGAAGCATGTTTTGCCTAAGTCTCTTTAACACAGAGCTAAAAATAATTTGGAATTGTAATCGCCCTTGGTTGGTTCAAAAGCTTATCAAATCTAGTACATAAAGTGATGGGACCACCATTTATTTTATTTTATTTTTTTATTGCGGTATTGAATGCTGAGACCCATACAAAGTAAAATCCCCTGAATACAAAGTAAAATCTTCCTTAGGGGCACCAAATTGCCTGTGTGTGCATTGCAGTGGGGTTTCCAGGGTTGGAAATTATGGGCAAAGGTAAAAAAATGGTATAGATTCAGATCTGGGGAACAGATCATGGCGACATGGATAGGGATTTTATATCTAGCCTGGATAACTCATTTCAGGTCTTCCACACTAGCTTTTTTGATGCAGATGCCCCAGAAATGCTCCCCACAGCTTCAGGGAGGGCGGGGGAGGGGTGGGAGAGCGGCTCGAAGTTACTGACTCTTGTAGAAGACCCTGAACTTTTTCATATATATATTAGGGTAATTCTTCAGCCCAAACCAGAATGAGAGGGTAGGATGAGGGCCTTAGCCTTGCCCCAAACTGCCCATAGTTCAGTGGAACCAGAGAGGGTTAACTTTCCCCACTTACCTAGTATCTCCTGGACAAAAAAGGAGCCACATACTAAAACCGACAAATTTAGGGGAGGCCTGCATGGCAAGCTTTACAAGCTCAGAGACCTAAAGTAGCCATATAGGATGGTCTGAAATGAAAACTTCCTAACTAAAAGGGAGTCATGGAAGGTAGTCATGTCCTATTGTCTTTTTGCATCTATGATAACATACCTTTGTTATGTCAGAGTAATCCCCTTTTTTCCAGACCCCTGGGGCATAATCTTGCACCAGAACTTGAGACCACTGAACCCCTGTTGTTATCTTTTCTCCACATACCATGATAAGTGTTCATTATCCTGAACCCACCAATGTAAAAGAAGTATTTGAGTCTCTGGTATACTTTTTATCCAATTTCAGAGATTTCCTCGATCTGAGTTCCACCATCTCCCTAATCAATGGATTTCATATAACCCCCTTACATCTTCTCCTTTGATTCTGATATATAAAATAAATGGTAAAACTGCCATTTTTTTTCGGGAGCACTTTCTCAATCTGATAAGAGATTTTGTTTCCTGGCAATTGTCGGTTTGGCTCAAGTAAATTCATAAAAATTCTATACAGGTTTGGATGTTTCTTATGTCAACACTCCCTTTTTTCAAACCCTGACTGTCACTTGCTTTCAGTAACTGCCTTTGTGATCAAGTTAGCCAGACCTAACTTTTGATAGGTCCTGCTGTGCATTCACAAATGTGATTCTCTAAATCAAAAGCTGAATATCCTTATTTTTACTTTTTTGCCTTCCTGCCATAGCAATCCTAATCCTCCCATTACCAAGGATGAAGACACACTGGTAGGGTTACATGCAATGAAATACTAAAGAGAAACTTCACAAAAAAAGAAGTCTGTTGTCATTTATCTAGCCATTTGTCAACATAAGAAACATTCAAACGTGTGAAGAATTTTTGTGAATTTATTTGAGCCAAACTGTCAACAATTGCCAGAAAACAAAATCTTGAGTGGTTATCTGGAATTTTCTAGTCAAGGCTGCTTCTGGCGGAGGTTGAAACTGCAATTAGATGAGGTATTAAATCTAGGTTTGGTATCATGGGCTTTTAGCACAAGTAATAGCATTTGGGGCCTATGGTTCACAGTAGATAGTTTCTTTTTTAACTTATCTTTATTGTTGAAAGTATTACAGATGTCCTCATTTTCCCCCCCATTGATCCCCTCCATCCCACTCCTGCCAGTCTCCCCAAGCATTCACTGCACTGTTGTCTGTGTCCATGGTTATGCATATATGCATTTAAGTTCTTTGTTTAATCTCTTCTGCCCCCCTTCCCTTTAAAAGTTATAATTTTATACTGTAGTGATTCTGTAGCTCTAGATTGTGAGATCACTGAGGGCAAGGACTCTGATTCATGCTTTGTCCCTTGCCATTATTTAGTCCACAACAAATATTTAATATACTTATGAAGTCTGAGCCCACTATGACATTCTTATTCATAGATACGAAATATTTTATAACAGGGTTCAATAACTTTTTTTTTTGGTTAGTCCTCACCCGACGATATTTTTTCCATTGATTTTTAGAGAGAGTGGAAGAGAGGAGAGGAGAAGATAGAAACACATCGATGTGAGACATAGATTGGTTACCTCCCTTGCACCAGGTCCCAGGATCGAACCTGCAACCCAGGTATATGCCCTTGATTGGGAGTCAAACCCAAGACACTTCTGGGCCGACGCTCTAACCAGAGCCACACTGAATAACTTTTTAAATGGAAAAAATTCTCAATATTTTGGTAGTGATAAACAAAAACTATCAGGGGCAGAAATATTAATCATGCTGTTAACCATGATTGTTCTATTCTGATTGGAGAAAACACATTCTAAATGGCTGCGAGTTGTACACCCTGGGACATGGGAGTTAACCTGGGAATGTGGTCCATTCATCAAAGAATTAACAACCGAGTTGAAACAATAGAGTCCACCCTTCCAAACCCCCGCATTGCCTGTAACTAGTAACCATTATACCCATTCTTATTCCTTTTGCCTACTTCCCCATGCCTGTAACTCCTTTTGCCCACTTCCCCATGTAATTTTTGTCCTTCTAACCAACAAAAGCAGAGCAGATTTTCATGGATGACCTGCTGCTCTCCCATACTGTGGCATTATTAGAATAAACACTCATATGATTCAACTCAGTCTCTGCTTAATTGGATCAAGTAGTGATAGGCAGCCCGGATCCATCAGTCCCAGCCCAGATCCATTAGTTGTCCAGTTTCAAAACCATGACCATTGCCTGACCAGCATGCTCAGTGGTTGGATGTTGACCTATGAACCAGGAGGTCACTGTTCAATTCCCAGTCAGGGCACATGCCGGGTTGCAGTCTCGATCCCCAGTGGGGGATGTGCAGGAGGCAGCTGATCAATGATTCTCTCTCATCACTGATGTTTCTCTCTCTCCCTCTTCCTCTCTGAAATCAATAAAAAATATATTAAAAGAAAAAGACAACCATGACCACCGCTCCCTCCCCTCCCACTCCTCTCTCAATATAAATTTGAGCAGCATTGAAACATTTCAGAAACGTTAAAAATACCAATTCCTTTACCCTTTCTCATTTAAATTAGGATTTCTGGGGTGGAACCTTTTTAAAAGCTCACCAGATATAATTTTAATATGCATGGTGGGTGGGACCAACTGGACTAGAATTTACTGGATAATGGTATTTCCTCATTTAGGGAAACAGATTTGGCCCTTTAACATTTAAATTTACTTTTACAGACAAAAATAAATGAAATCCTTAAGAAAGAGGGCACTTGCTCCAGTGATATCCTTGTTATTCACTGGAGGCTGGAAGGCCAGCAGGATCTCATTCTAGTATTAAGCAATTAGATAACAGCTTTCCCCCCTATACCCTTGTGTGTTAATCCATGTGTGGTAGAACCCGTTGAAATATTTGCTTCCCCCCAAAAGGAAGTTTTCCAGTTTTGACACACAGTTTTCTTAAAAAGGATTACTATGAGCTTGAAAAAAAATTTTTTAAGCGTATTGCAGAAATGTTCTTGATGTAAGAAGCGTCTTCTCTCCATTTTAAGGGTGAAATGTGGACAGCTGAACTCAAACTCGTCTATGGAGTATTTACATAACTAGCTAACTTAGAAAACTACAATCACAACAGACTTGCTCGGAAGTCTCCTTTTACAAGAAGTCTCTACTATTTAATGACACCTGCCGTCCTTTTAGGACCCAGCGGAAGCGCAGGTGTTCTCTAGGCTGGGGACATACGCGAGGCCGGCGGGACAAGCCTCCGCCGCGGTTCCTCTCTCCTAGAGAACTTGCAGTCACTCACGCTGCCGTCTGAATTGCTGATGCACCCCCTCCCCCATCTCCACTCTAAATCAGCTTTGCGAGGAGAACCCAACCTGATCGTTGGCAACCACTGATCCCCACCTCCACCTCTAAACGATCTTCCGTTTAGAGCACACCGGAAACTAGTCTTTTCCGCTACTTCTCATTTTCCTTCCGGGTCAGGCCAGTCCGGCCTGTGTTCCGGTCTTGCGCACTAGGTTCCGAGCGCGAGGCCGGCGGCACCGTTGCCATGGTAGCGGGTGGCGGGGAGCTAGCGGGACCAGCGGCCAAAGTAGAACTGGGACTACGAGGGGCCGGACCTTCGGGACCACAGGATGGGTTGAGGCGGAGGCGGCTGCACGGACGAGGTCGTCCGCCGGGCGTAGGGTGCAACACTGACCCAGGACCCTAAGATATCTGCTTTGAGGAGTGGGCTGGACCGAGGTTTTCTTGGGTCCCGGGGACTGACCTGCGGGGCACTGCAGTATTGCGGACCTCTTATTTGACGGGCAGGACCGGAAGTGTGAGGATAACCCTCCGCCCCGTGGATTGTGACGTGTAGTGAAGGAATCCTAATACTTAGTGTTAATGGGGATAACCGAGGCAGCGGGAGGCTCCCGAAGTTCTCCGGAAGGCTGGAGCCCCACAAGTACACCTTACTGTCGGGCTGGCAGTTTCCAAAGACAAACGGTGCCTGTGGAAAAGAATCCTATTTTTTTTCTATGTTTCTGTATTTTAAAGTATGGGTTTATTGTGGAACTGCATTATCCAGCTTCAATAAATAAAATAAAAATGTTTAACATTTTCTTTATTTCTGTGAAGAAGCAGGGCTTAAGAATGGAGATGTATGAAACTCTTGGAAAAGTGGGAGAAGGAAGTTATGGAACAGTCATGAAGTGTAAACATAAGGATACCGGGCAGATAGTGGCCATTAAGATATTTTATGAGACACCAGAAAAATCTGTCAACAAAATTGCAACGAGAGAAATAAAGTTTCTAAAGGTTTGCTTCTTTTGCCTTAATTGCTCTTTAAGTTGAGAGAGAAATAGTTATGGAAACAAATTATATAAGGAGTTTTTCAGTTAACACATGTATTAAGACAGGTAATAGAAAAACAAGTGTCTTACATTTTGTAATTTTATAGTGATACAAGATATATGTGCTTACGGATAATATAACAAAAGTTATAATTTGAACTAAATTTTTATCTTCTAGAATTTCACTGATTATTGTGAAATAATTATTCTGAAATATAAAAATGTGTACTTTGTGCAAGACATTGTGCCAGATGCTGAGACTATAATGAGGTAAAAGACACTACCTGCTCTTCAGGCCTTTTATTATTTAATCAGAGAGACAGGAGGACATACAATACTGAATAAAAAGTGGCTCATAAGAAGTGCCAAGTGATTAACACAAAGTCCTGTTGGGTAGTGAAGGTTTCTTGGAAGAATTGGGACATGACTCTGGCTTTAAATGATGTGTAGGATTTATGTAAGAAGGAGAGACTGTTGTATAATAGGTTAGTGGAACAGCATAAGCTCAGGGTGGCTAAAGCAGGACAAAGATAAAGAGCACAGTGGAACTCTAGCCGGTTTGGCTCAGCGGGTTGAGCCTGAAGACTGAAGGGTCCCAGGTTCGATTCTGGTCAGGGCATGTACCTCGGTTGTAGCCTCCTGGTCCTGGTTAGGGGCATGTGGGAGGCAACCAATTGATGTGTCTCTCTTACATTGGTGTTTCTCTCTCCCTCGCCCTTCCACTCTCTCTAAAAATCAATGGGAAAAAAATCCTCGGGTGAAGATAAAAAAAAAAAAAAAAAAAAAAAAAAGAGGAGCAAAGTGGAAAGGACAAAGAGCAAAGGTATTTGCCTGTAGAATTTCCTGTACCGAAATACAGGTAGAATTAGAAAGGTAAATTGGACGTAGGTTTTTAAGTCTTTTTTTTTTAAACACATGTATTTTTATTGATTTTAGAGAGGAAGGGAGAGGGAGAGAGAAACATCAATGATGAGAGAGAATCATTGATTGCCTGCTTGCCCCCTACTGGGGATTGAGCCCGAAACCCTGGGCATGTGCCCATGCCCAGAATCGAACCTGGAACCCTTTAGTCTGCAGGCCAATGCTCTGTCCACTGAGCCAAACCAACCAGAGCGGTTTTTAAATCTTGTCTTTTGGGCTAAGGAGTTAAAATTTGAATTTGTAAGAGGACGAAGGTTTTGAATTCAGAATAAAGAAACTATAAATACAAATGTGGCACTATTTTTTAGAAAAGATTGGAGGACTCCAAGAGTAACAATAGGGAGTCCTGTTAGGGAATTTAATTCAGGAATACTGTTAAATGTCACGAGAAACCCTACTGGATTGTGACAATTTGAATGGAAAATAAAGTTAAAACATGATATATTGCAAAAGAAGACACAAAGACTTCTTTGAGGTTCAGTGAGTACTATCATGGAAGTTTGAAATACCCCAAGAGGCATAGTTTGGGAACTAGTTCAGTTTTAGGAATGTTGAATTTGTCCTTGATTGGCTCAGTGGAGAGAGCAGCAGCCTGCAGACTGAAGGGTCCCGGGTTCGATTCCAGTCAAGGGCACATTCCTCAGTTGCAGATTTGATCCATTCGGGGCACTTTCGGGAGGCAAACAATCTATGTGTTTCTCTCATATCGATGTTTCTCTTTCTCTGTCTCTCCCCCTCCCACTCCCAAAAATCAATGGGAAAAATATCCTCAGGTGAAAAAACAAAGAAATGTTGAATTTGAGGTGACAGGAGTACATTTAAGTAAAGATGGCCAGAGGGCTCTTAGAGATGGGGAACAGTATCAGGAGAGATCAGGGCAGAAGATAGGGTTTTGTGTAGGTATGACAGGTCAGCCTAGGGGAAAGTGCTCCCGGGTGTAAAGAAAGGGGCATTAAGACCCCTTGGTGACTGAGTACAAAACTAGTGATTTAAGTATACATGTACTTTATAAATTGGAATTTATCTAGATGCTTTAAGGTTATGACTTTGACAATGTAGTCTAGATGTTTTATTTAATGAAGAAAACAAAGTAATATTCTATTTCTTTGTAAGTGTATATTAGGTATGATGGATCAATTCAAAATTGAAGAAATATATTAGGTGTCTGTGTATTGTTGGAACTGCTCTATTTCTTGACAATGAAAAGGAAAATTAAAGTCAGTAAAGATGTTATAATTTTGTGTAAGACACCAGTCCTTATTCTGATGACCCAAAACATAATAATACTGTAAGGCAACTATTATACACTGTAAGCGAGTAATCTGATTAGAAGACCTTTTCCTAGGTAATATCTTTCGTTCTTTCTTCAACTCTATTGCATTTAAGCTGATTATTTTTTTAAAGGGATGAATTTGAATGTTACAGCTATTACAACTATTATGCAAACTATTTTGAGACACCTTAATTCGTATTGGTTTATTTCTTATAGAATTTTTAGTTTAATTCTACAAGAGAGATTTCTTGGATTAGATAACAATACTTAATTTAAAAAGATAGTCATAATGACTTAATTTGAACTAAATTTTTATCTTCTAGAATTTTACTAAATAAATGACAGTAATTAGTGCAAATATCTGTATAAAACTTGTCTAGTAATGAAGGAAAACAAACAACTTGAAAAGGGGTAATGGAGCATTTCTAGGGGTTTCATGATTTATGTGAGAGTGTACCCCTGGGGATCTTCCCTAATGATTATTAACTCCCATTAACCCTTCACTGCTTTTGCCTTTAAAATAAAGACTGGATAGGAAACCCATAATTTTCCTTAGTTGAAAGATTAAAGTCCAAAAGCAGTCATTTTTTGTTTTGTTACTTCCTGCATGCTGTTGCTGCTGGCATCTTGCCCACCAGGGTAATTGGGAGCAAAAGTAGGAAAGACATCTGGCATTATATTTTGACATGTTTTTCTATTAGTCATGTTTTAAGGACTGGTTTAGATATTAATACAGATAAGTAGAAAAATTGCTAATATCTCCTCAGAATAAAGGCAAATAATTTTCATAAAGTATAGTTTTCTAATGAATCTAATATTGAAAATATACCCCTTAGTTTTTAGCCAAATGAATAAGTATTTTTGGTAATTTGAAAAAGTTAAATACTCAGAGTTTATTGTAATTAAATCAATGTGTTACAAAATAGAATAAGCAGCATAAAATATTAAAATGTCATTTCTTTTCTAAGCTGATACATACCATTTTTGATATTTTAAAATTATTGTATCAGTCTAAAAAGATGTCTTGTTGCTTAATAGAATAATAGACTATTATTTTATTCAAATAGAATAGCATAATGCTCAATAGACTAGAACAAAAATGTACACACAAATAATTGTATATTTATGTAACGTCCTTCTGGCTATAAATAGGTATTTCACATATCTGAAAGTTTCTAGATATTCTGATACTCTTTTGTTACAGTGTGATGAATTTATAATGCCCCCCCCCCCCGGAACAGATTTTACTCTCAAGAGTTTAGGATTAAACTCAAAGAATAATTTATATACATTCAGATCACTCAGTAGCACTGAACTCGGTGCTCATTTGAAAATATAAGGACCTTTTAAATTTCAGATGTTAAATTTAACCACAAATCAAGTTAAAAGATAGGAAGATATCTCTTAGCAGCATACCAAGTTGCATTATAGTACATTAAATTACTTTAATAAAACAAGCAAATGCTAACTTGAAGTAAAACAATACATTTCCCTTTGTTCTATAAATATTAATTATGAAATAGATTAACATTTTCTTAAAACAGGAATGTAAGCAAATCAGTTGAGAAATTTCTGTTGAAATGCATGGAGGAAAAGAAGCTGAGAATATTTCTGCTTCATTTTAAAATATAGTTGTTATATGTATAAATCATTGTGCATGAAATAATTTATTAAAAATCTGTTTCTTTGTCAATAGCAATTCCATCATGAAAACCTGGTCAATCTGATTGAAGTTTTTAGACAGAAAAAGAAAATTCATTTGGTATTTGAATTTATTGACCACACAGTATTAGATGAATTACAACATTATTGTCATGGACTAGAGAGTAAACGTCTTAGAAAATACCTCTTCCAAATCATTCGAGCAATTGAATATCTTCACAATAATAATGTAAGTGCTGCAGAATAAGTCAAACTATAGAATGTATATGAATGATAAGTGCCCTTTAAATATTGTTTTGTTTTGACTGTTGAACCTCAGAGGGAGGGCAGGGGAGTGTGAGAGGGAAGAGATTAACCAATGAACTTGTATGCACATATGCATACTCGTGGACAAGGACACTGGGTGGTGAGGGCCTAGGGGAGGAGGGAGGACAGGAGCTGGCTGGAAGAGGTTAATGGGGGGAAAGGAGGACCTATGTAATACTTTAAAGATTTTTAAAAATATATTTTATTGATTTTTTACAGAGAGGAGGGGAGAGGGATAGAGAGTTAGAAAAATTGATGAGAGAAAAACATTAATCAGCTGCCTCCTGCACATTCTCTACTGGGGATGTGCCCGCAACCAAGGTACATGCCCTTGACCGGAATCGAACCTGAGACCCTTCAGTCCGCAGACCGACACTCTATCCACTGAGCCAAACCGGTTAGGGCTAAAGATTTTTTTAAAAAATAAATAAAAATAAAAAGCCATTGACAGACCCCCAAAATAAAATAAATATTGTTCTGTCTTTTATGAAGTTGTTAAAATTATCTTTCTGTACAATATTGACATCCTGAAAATGAGGTCACTACTTTCTAACTTAGTTGCAGAACCAAGAAAACATAGTGAGCTTACAATATTTCTAATTATAGGGCAGACCAAGTATGGTATTAATAATTTGGTAAAGAGGAATCAAAAGTCAATTGGGGCATCTTTGATTAGAGAAAGTACATTTAAAATGTTGAAAGCTAGGCTAGCTCAAATGAAGGGAGGTTTGAAAGTAGAAAGTGGAAACTTGACCAGGGGAATGGCAAGTTCATGTGGATGCCTTTAGGGAAAGAAAGGAGAAATAAAGTAGCTAAGAGATATAGAGCCTTGTTTAACTCCTGAAAAAAATCAAGAAAGGAAAGAAGATCAACTCTTCCGATTCTTAGTGCTGCCCTTAGCATTGCCTTAGCTCAGGTTATTAGGAGATATTTTGTTCCCACTGTGAGCTCTGCTTTCTGGAAAGTTAGATTTGTATTCAGGAAATAACAGTCAAAGCTTCAAAAATAGTTTTATTAGTAAGTGATATAGGCATAGCATATATATATTCCATACTTTTTCAGATATCCTAATTTCTAATTTTCTGTCTTGCTAATAGTGTATCACATTTTACTGCTTTGAAAAATATGGTTGGGATAGCAACTGGAATTCAGATTGTGATTTCCTTTCCAGCTAGATCCATGGGAAGGCAGTATAATGCAAAAGTTAAAAGCACCAGTCTTTGTTATCAGTCTGTCTTGGATTTTTACCCACCAGCTTATCTGTGGATAAACACAAAACTTGTGCAATTCACAACTTGCACAATGAAAGGTGGCAGCCCCGTTACTCTGTGGGCCCAGAAATGTTATCTAACTTCACTGAGCTTCATTTTCTTTATCTGTGAAATGATACTATAGTATCTCACAGATTTTTTTGTAAAGATCAAATTAGGTAGTAGGTATAAAGTGTTTAGCACTGTATCAGAGTCAGGAATAGTCATATTATCTGTAGTCCTATAGTACCTTGTAGACTTTAAAAATGTTTTTTGAAAAAGAAAAAAACCAATATGGGCTAGACTGAGAGTAGACGACTTTGAAGAAGAGCTAAAACTAATGTAAGTACAGTTTTGAACTGTAACTAAGATTTCACTTGAAAAGGGAATGTATTCAGATGGGGTGCCACTATAATAGAGGTACACCTGGGCCGGGGACTTCAGAGAGTGACAATAGGTGCACTTACAGAGACCAGGCAAAGGGAGGTAAGATTGCACAGGTGACCAGGCGGGAGCTTTGCCAGAGCCTTGAAATTCATCCTGAGGAGTTGTGGAAGTGGAAATAGATGAATGTAGTTGTATAGATGGTACCTTTAAGATGGCTCTACCTTATTACCCTAGGTTAATTCTTTGGGCCATTTGTGGAGGGAGACGGAGGCAGAACAAGAGCCAACCCCAAAAATAGCAATATATAACATAGCAATTAAGTTATATAAACAAAGATAGATCCCAGATTTCTGTCACTGAGATATTTTCACTTGTGCTATGATACTTTTCCAGTGATAAGAACATACTTCATTCAGTTGATAAAGTTTTAAAATGCCTTACTTGTTTTAGGCACTGTACTGGGCACTGGTAATATAGCTTAAACAAGACATATATCTTGCCCTCATGGAGCTTACAAGTCTGGTGGGAGTTACAAACAAGTAAATAGACAATTAATAATATAGCCTGACAAATACTATAATGGGTAAGTGCAGAATGATGTGAGAACAAATGGAAGGAACATCTACTACAAACATCACAAATGCATAGATTAGACAAATCCTGGAAAATTGGGAAACTAATATTCTAGGGAAAGAGGTTATAGTCCTAGCCAGTTTGGCTCAGTGGATAGAGCATCGGCCTACAGACTGAAGGGTCCCAGGTTCGATTTTGATCAAGGACACATTCCTGGGTTGCGGGCTCTATCTCCAGTAGCGGGGCGTGCAGGAGGCAGCCAATCAATGATTCTCTTTCATCATTGATATTTCTATCTCCCTCTCCCTTCCTCTCTTAAATCAATAATATATATATATATATATATATTTTTTTTTTTTATTTTTTTTTTTAAAGAAAGAGGTTGTAGAAGGCTGAGAAGGTGGGTAGGGTTCAAATCCTACAAGGCTTTATAAACCATTTTAAGGAGTTACTAATCTGTCACGTGGAGTGGGGAATCCTTGAAAGATGTTAAACAGAGAAGTGACATAATCACACGTGATTTTAAAGCAGTACTGTGACTTCATTGTGGACAGAGGATTGGAGGGGATCAGAATGAATCCAGGGAGAGTAGTTAGTAGTGTAGTAATTTTTGGTGAGAGAGCTGAGGGGACTTGAACTAGAGAGAGGAGTAGGTAGGTTAAGTGTATATGGGAGCCAAGGAAGAAAAATACCTTGGTTTCTGGCTTGAGACATGGGTCAGTGTTGGTTCCCTTCCCAGGAGCACAAGTACTATTAAGAACAAATAGCTTTGGGGGAGATGATGCATTTAGTTTTGGACTTGCTGAGTGGGACTTCTTATAGAATTCCACTCCTTGTGGAAACCAGGAGCGATATCTAGAAATAGAAATTAGACAAAGAAATTTGGAAATCATCTGTATATGGATAGTTACTAAAGTTATAAAAGTAGGTGAGGTTGAGATGGAATAGCCAGTAGTTGGGAAGAAGCCCAAGAGGGTATGGTGTCTCCATAACCAAGTAAAGAAAATGGTCCGCCCCCCCCCCCCCCCGCAAAAATAAGTACACAAGATTTCCCAGGAAGCATGATGTATGAGAAGAGAAAACCTAAGATCAGAACCTGCATTTAAGGAACAGATAGAGAGAGAATTGCCATAGAGATAGAAGGAGCCTGGGAGAATTTTAGGTCCCTGTAATCAGGAATGAAGGAATGGTTGGCAACATTTTTACACTAAGATATCAAGTAAGATATGCATTGAGGGGTCTCTGTTGGACTAGCAACAATTACGTTGTTGATGTTGGCTCAGGCAGTTTAATGGAACATTTCAGCAGAAGACAGATTCCATTACTTTGAGTGGTGAATGAATGATCATAAAGTGAAGAATGTGTAGAGATGATGTCAGCAAGAGATTTACTGTGAAGAAAATGAGAGAAAGGGAAGTACCTGGGATGTGACATGGGGTTAAAGGAAAGTTAAACTTTTTTCAAGTTCTTTTGATGACTTTTCCATTTAGGAATGTGATGAACCTTTTTTAGTATTATACTTGTTTTTTTCGGCTCCCTGTTATTTTGAGATAATGTATGGGGCAAGAATTGAAAATATATAACTTCAGCTTTTGCACTGTGTGGTTAATCCTTTGCATGGGGTAAGAAAATAGCTTTACTGTCTTAATTAGCTAGATTTTCTCTGTATAATTTTTGAGAGCTTCTCTAGGTAATGAAACCTCATTTTAATGTATTGCATCTTCTGTTTGTTTTTTAGATCATTCATCGAGATATAAAACCTGAGAATATTTTAGTATCCCAGACAGGAATTATTAAGCTCTGTGATTTCGGATTTGCACGAATGCTAGCAGCTCCTGGGGATATTTATACAGACTATGTGGCCACACGCTGGTATAGAGCTCCAGAATTAGTATTAAAAGATACCTCTTACGGAAAGTATGTACATTTTAGGATCTTGCCTGGCCTTTCCCATTCATCTCTCTCTTTTTTTTTTTTCTTTTCTTTTTTTTACCTGTGGTGACTTTGTCACCCATCTTACTGACACCCTCAGCCTTTTGCACCTGAATTGGGTTTAAGAAAGGGATACCTCTACATAGAGGTCCGATAGGCACCTGCATGCTGGCTATTGATGTTACCATGCTTGCTCTCTGGGGCTAAGTGGCCCAAATCCCAGGAGACCTATGCAGACATCCATCCCTCAGACTGTATCCTTGGCAGAGTTGTCTTATCTGCTTATGTTTAGCCTCCACATTATACAAAGGTTTTAAAATAATTTACCTCACACTGCCAGTGTTACTATAGGAACTGACATGTGTCCTATTTTCTGGAATATGGCACTCTCTTTGCAAAGATTGGCAAATAATACTTTTTAAGATTATATTGTTCTGGATGCCTCAAAAGGTAGCATGGTCTCAATTTATTGTGAAACAGTAGAAGCAGTATATGAAACAGCAATCTAATATACAAATAACGTACCTCGAAGAACATAAAGGGACCAAGTTGTACAACTAATACAACCAATGGAGGGGGATATTCTTGCATGCTTTTCCTAGAAACCACTATTCTATTCTGTTTTTATAGTAATATCTAATATATATATTTAAATCCTCACCTGAGGATATGTCTTCATGGATTTGAGAAAGAGAGAGGGGAAAGGAGAGGAGAGAGAGAAAAACATTGATGGGTTGCCTCCTGTACATGCCCCAAATGAGTATCGAACTCACAACCTGGGTACGTGCCCTGACTGGGAATCAAACTTGCCACCTTTTGGTGTACGTTATGATGCTACAACCAACTGAGCCACACTAGCCGGGGCAATAATATCTAATATTAATGAGTACTTACTTTTTGCTAGAAACTGTTCTAAATGCTTTACATGCATTAAATAATTTAATTTTCATAATTCTATGGTGAAGGTGCTACTTTGTCCTCCTCATTTTAGATCAGAGGACACTGAAGCACAGAAAGTAAGCTCATTTACCTGAAGTCACTGCCAAGTACCTTTTCTACTGTATGTATCATTGATGTCTTACTCAAACGATCTCTCTGCCTCAATTACTTTATCTGTATAATGCAAATAGTAATAGGATCAGCTTCGTGGAATTGTTCTGAGGTTTAAATGATTTAATGAATAAAAAAAACATTAAAATATAGTAAATTCTCAGTGAATGTAGCTTCCATCAAATCTAGTCCCAGTTTTATCCTCTCTTCACGATGTAGCTTAAATTCTTTTTCTGATACATCCCCCAGTCCTTATTCCTTGCCCCCAAATCATATCCCTATCTAAACCTTCATGTACATTGTCTGTAAGTTTTGTGCCAGTTAATATTTAATATGACCTAGTTCTACTCTAGCTATTGTTCTTTAAAATATTTCTTGCTGAAAGGTAAGTTTCTTGCAGATAAGTATAATCTCTGTACTTCACAGAGCCAGCATTGCTCCCTTGTACATGGCAAGTTTGGATTCTATGAGGCTTCATTCACATTGCATTTATAATAAATTTGTTCATGAGTGTTTTTAAAAATCTTTTTATTGTAAAACAAAATACAGATACCAGAAAATAAAATAAAATTTTGTTGGCCAACTCAGAAGACCCTCCATGGGCCCTATTGCAATTATAACACTTTCCCTTCCCCCCCAAATAACCATGATATTGACTTTTATTATAATCAGTTACTTTACATTTCTTTGTACTTTATACTTTTTTATTATTTTTAAAAAAATATATTTTATTGATTTTTTACAGAGAGGAAGAGAGAGGGATAGAGAGTTAAAAAAAACATCGATGAGAGAGAAACATTGATCAGCTGCCTCTTGCACACCTCCTATTGGGGATGTGCCTGCAACCAAGGTACATGCCCTTGGGCAGAATCGAACCGGGGACCTTTCAGTCCACAGGCCGACGCTCTATCCACTGAGCCAAACTGGTTAGGGATAATCTAGTCTTTTTTAAATCCTCAACCGAGGATATGTTTTAATAATTTAGAGATAGAAGAAGGGAGAGAGAGAGAGAGGGAGATAAACATCCATGTGAGAGAGAAACATCGATTGTTTGCCTCCCATAAGTGCTATGAACAGGGATGGAACCTGGAACCTACATATGTGCCCTGACTGGGAATTGAACCCGAAACCTTTTGGTGTATAGGACAATGCTCCAATCAACTTAGCCACCCATCCAGGGCATCTTTTTTTTTTTTTTTTTTTTTTTTTTTAAAGAGAGAGAGAGTAAGAGAAACATCGATTTGTTCTACTTATTTATGCATTCATTGGTTGCTTCTTGTATGTGCCTTCATTGGGGGTTGAACCTGCAACATTGGCCTATCAGGATGATGCTCTGACCAGTGGTCGGCAAACTGCAGCTCAGCAAACTGCAGCTCTCAAGCCACATGCGGCTCTTTGGCCCCTTGAGTGTGGTTCTTCCACAAAATACCGACTTCTGCACATGGGCCATGAAGTTTCAATTGCACTGTATGTGTACGCCTGCACGAGGTATTTTGTGGTATTTTGTGGAAGAGCCACACTCAAGGGGCCAAAGAGCCGCATGTGGCTTGCAAGCTGCAGTTTGCCAACCACGGCTCTAACCAACTGAGCTACCCAGCCAGGGTAATCTAGCCTTTCCTTTATGTCAGTTTTTTTGAGATATGATTTGCATACCATAAAATTTACCCATTTAAAGTGTACAATTCAGTGATTTTAGTATATTTACAACTTGTGCAACTATCACCACAATCAATTTTAGAACATTTTCGTCACCTCAAAAAGAAACCTTGTACCCATTAGCAGTCACTCCCCATTTCCTCCCAACCCTTCCAGGCCCTGGCAACCACCAATCTACTTTCATTCTCTATGAACTTGCTTGATCTAGATGTTTAATATAAATGGAATTTATGCAATATCTGGTCCTTTAAGACTTTTTTTCACTTAGCATAATGTTTTCAAGGTTCATGCGTGTCATAGCATGTATCAGACTTAATTTCTTTTTATGGCTGAACTAGAGGCCCGATGCGCAAAGATTCATGCAAGAATAGCCTTCCTTCCCCTGGCTGCCAGCACCGCCTTCGCTCTGGCCAGAGCCACCTTTCTGCCTTCGTGCACTGCTCAGAGGCCTAGAGCGGCCGGGGCGGAGCGGAACGCAATGCCTGTGTCGTCACCATGGCAACGACGCAAGCATCCCGGCCTAGCCGCTGCCATCTTCATTGCGTCAATTGGCATATCTCCTCCTTATTGGCTGTGGGCACAGCCATCTTTGTTGCCAAGCGATGGCCAATTTGCATATTCCATCTTTATTATATAGGATAATATGCATCTTATGGATATACCACATTTTATTTGCTCCTTCATTAGATGATGACCATTTTTATAGTTACCGCTTTCTGGCTATTATGAATAACATTGCTGTGGCCATTAGTATGGACATGTATCTTCATTACTTTTGGGTGTATACCTAGGGGTTGGAATTGTGGGTCATATGGTTCTAATAATTGTTTTGTGGATTTCTTAGGACTTTCTATATATAAGACCATGTCGTCTGTGAATAGAGATAATTTTACATCTTTTTCTGTCTGGATGCCTTCTATTTCTTTTTCAGGTTAATTTCCCTGGCCAGAGCCTCCAGTACAATGTTAAATAGAAGTGAGAGCAGATAGACTTGTCTTGTTCCTAATCTTAGGGGAAAACATCCAATCTTTTACCATTAAGTATGATGTTATTCTGGGTTTTTCAGAGATGCCCTTCTTAGTTTGTTGAGAATTTTTACCATGAAAAGGTGTCAGTCAAATGCTTGTTCTGTACCTATTGAGATGATTGTGTGTATTTTGTTTTTTGCATGTTGAACCAACATTTGTTTCTGGGATAAATCCCACTGGATTATGGCATATACAGGCAGTCCTTGGGTTATGTTGGCCTTGATGTTCATTGTTTCATGGTTACATTGCCATCTCCCATTTATTTATTAAAAAGAAAAAGTTCTGTCATTTTGACGTATGTACATATGTACATATGTGCTTTATGTTTTTTATTATTTATTTACCACAAGTAAAAGTCAAGAATTATTATCTTTCTTTTAAATTTTTTTTACTGTTTCACTTTGTTACTGCTGTGTATGTGCTCCATGTGAGTGACGTAGGCGCTTATGTAGGTGGGTTCTGACTTACAGCGAAAATCACCGTAGGAACGGATCTCCAGTGTAACCCGAGGACCTACTGTAATTGTTTTTATATGTTGTTGTATTCAGTTTGCTAGTCTTTTGTTAGAATTTTTGAGTCATAAGCAATACCAGTCTGTAGTTTGCTAGTGATATTTTTGTCTAGTTTTGGTGTCAGGATAACAGTGGTCTCTAATATTGAGTTGAGAAGTGTTCCATCCTCTTGTTTTTGAAATAGTTTGTGAAGAATTGAAATTAATTCTTCTTTAAATATTGGTAGAATTCAGCGTTTGAGCCTGGGCTTGCTTTTATGTGTAGTGTCTTGGTTACTAATTCGGTTTTTTCATTTCTTAGAGATTTATTTATATTGTCTATTTCTTTTTAAGCCAGTTTTAGTAGTTTGTGTTTTTCCAGGAACTGTCCATTTAATCTAACTATCTGATTTGTTGGTGGACAGTTGTTCATTGTATTCCTTTATAATCTTTTTTATTTTTGTAAGGTTGATAGTAGTGTTACCACTTTCTTTTCTGATTCTGATAATCTGTGTATTCTCTCTTTTTTTACTAGTCATTCTAAATGTCAATTTCATTGATCTTTACAAAAAATAGACTTTGGTTTCATTTATTTTCCCTGTTTTAAAATTTCTCTATTAATTTTAACTGTAGTTTTACTATTACTTTTAAAAAAATATTTTATTGATTTCAGAGAGGAAGGGAGAGGGAGAAATAAAAACACCTTGTGACTGTCAGAGCATTTGGGGCTAAACAGCAGCAAACCCTGCAGAGATGAGCCCAGACTTAAGCTGGAAGCACACGGATTCTCCCATCTCCGGGGAAGGATCGTCAGAAGGTGGCTCATATGATCTTTTAATGTGTTTTGAAGTGTGTGGTGGTGCGTTTTCATGAAGCAAAATTACTTTGCCATGTCTTCTGGCCCATTCTGGTCATTTCAAGATCAAAGCGTGGTTCAAATTGATTATTTGTGGTCGGTAGCCATCAGTATTAATGGTTTCACCTGGTTTTAGAAGCTCATAATACACCACACCCTCCTGATCCCACCAAACACAGAGCATTGTCTTCTTTCCGAAGCGATTTGGCTTTATAGTCGATGTTGATGGTTGACCTGTATCAACCCATGATTTTGTGCATTTGGGATTCTCAAAATAAATCCACTTTTCATCACCAGTCACAATTCAATGCAAAAAAGACTTTCTTTCATGCCGTTGAAGCAACATTTTACTAATGACTTTTTGGTTTTCCATTTGTCTTTCGTTCAGTTGATGTGGCACCCGTTTTCCTTCCTTTAAAATTGTTCCCATTGCTTGTAAACCATCGGAAATTGTTTGCGGAGCAACGTTTAATCTTTCTGCAAGTTGTTTTTGAGTTTGACATGCATCTTCATCCAATAATGCTTATAATTGTTTGTCTTCAAACTTTTTCGGTTGACCTGGACGTTCTTTGTCTTTCACATCGAAATCATCACTTTTAAAATATCTATGATGTTAACACCTTCAGAAAATTTGACATATAAAGTTTTGAAGCTTGTAGTCGATACAACAAAATAGCATACTTATCAAATCGCATATACACTGGGTGGCCAGATTATTATGACCACCTGACATTTGTAGGCAAATTAGCTATAATTTCGCGCTGAAGTTGCTAGAAGGCCAGACCATTATAAATAGGGAAGCAGGTTGTTTACCATGACAGTAGAAGTGATTTTGTTCTGAAGATATGGGTAAACAACGCGATTTAACAGCCTTTGAATGTGGGATATAAATACTGAGTGGCCAGATTATTATGACCACCCCATCAGTACTCCGTTGGGCTGCCTTTTGCCTTCAATACTGCGGCGATTCTTCTTGGCATTGACTCCATGAGATGTTGAAAGGTGATGCAAGGAATCTAATACCATGCCTGATGAATAGCACTGTTCAGTTCTGTGAGATTTGATAGTTGTGGAACCAGCTGCCTGATGGCTCTTTTAACTTCATCCCACAAATGCTCAATTGGATTGAGATCTGGTGATTGTGGGGGCCACCTAAGCAAGGTAAAGTCTCCCTCATGTTCTTGAAACCACTCCTGCACAATACGAGCCACATTCTTGTTGAAAGAAACCATCACCATTGGGATACGCCATCAACATGATAGGATGAACTTGATCAGCAATGATACTTACGTATGTTGTGCTATTCAGATGTTGTTCCACACGAATTCAAGGGCCCAAATCATGCCAGGAAAACATGCCCCAAACCATAACACTGCCCCCACCAGCTTGAAGGGTTGTACTCATGCATGTGGGGTGCATGCTTTCATGCTGTTTCCGCCAAATTCTCACTCTGCCACCTGCATGATGCAACTGGAAACGTGATTCTTCGGACCACATGACTTTTTTCCAATGCTTGACTGTCCAATCCTTGTGTTCCTGTGCGAATTGGAGACATTTTATCTTGGTAACTGCAGACAGCAAAAGTGTTCAAACAGGCCTTCGGCTTCCATATCCATACGATGCAGTGTACGGCTAATTTGCCTACAAACGTCAGGTGGTCATAATTATCTGGCCACTCAGTGTATATAAACATGAAATATCTCTCCATTTATTTACAACTTCTTTGATTTCTTTAATGAACTTTTTTTTCACTTGAAAGTTTATCTTAGAGATCACTTTATATTAGCACACATAGATAGACCTATATCATCCTTTTTAACAGCTGAATAATATTTCATTGTGTGGTTGTACAAAATTTTATATATCCATTTCTGTATGGATGAACATTTAGATTTTTTCCAATATTTTCTACCACAAACAGTGTTGCTGTGAAATTTTTATAATTTATCTTTGTTTTCATGTGCAAGTAAATTTTTTTTAGCCATCACTTTATTCCTAATAAGCGCTAACCCACAGAATGTATATTTAAAGGTAGATTGCTAAAGCAGAATTTGCAAATCCATTTAGTAAAATTTTCATTGAAAACTTCTATTTTTTTCAATGCATGCGAAATAACAAATCTTCTTTATATATAAAGAACAAAAAAGTAAGTTCTATGCAGTCAACTGCAGATGGGACTTACATTTTGGGCCAATAGAGTCATGGCAGAAATGCAGGCCAGAGGACTGAGAGATGATTCCATAGAAAGCACTCCACCAGGGAAAACAGTTGTTTGCCCTGTAAAGAGATTGAACTCAATCACATTTTTAAACTCGTCATTTTAAATAATCTCAACTTGTCCATTCCCTAGCTTTGTTCTTTTTTCTTTATAGCTTGCCATGCAGTACTAGGAAGTGGATTTCCTGAGGAACTGAGTTAAGTTTCATCTCCTTCTTATGCTATTGAGTCTTGCATCTGGCAGTGGAGGGAAGTAAAATAGACAGTGTCTGGTGCCTTATCCACCCCTCATATGTTCTATTTGAAGTTTTGTTGTGTGTGTTTTTTTTGACTCATCAGTGGTAGGATATAAAATGTGGGTAAGTTATTGCAGCTTTTAAAAAACGTCCTTACATTTGTTAACCCTGTTAGAAATAAGGCAAGACCCAAACCAGGGGTCCTGGCAGAACACAAAGGATACTCGGGAGCCAGACAGCTGCAGAAATAAAGGTATTTGCCTTGCTATCTGGCTTGCGAGTAAATTTTTTTAAAAAATAAATTTCTAGGAATAAAGTTATTTGGTCAACTGTATGTACATTTTTATTTTGGTAGCTTTTTCCAATTTTCCCTCCAAGAAATTGTGTAAGTTTATACTCCCAGAATAGTACATGGGAGTGTTTATTTTCCATAGCCTCACCAACAGTTATCAAATCTTACAATTTTTAATCAGTTGTATCAGTAAAAAAATAGAGATCATTGTAGTGTTTATTTATATCTCTTTCTGAATGTGACATTGAGATTTTTAGTTTTTAAATACAAGATGATTTTCTTATCCAATTCTAATTCATAAACCATCTCTATACTAGTATATAAAAGCCCAGCGACCGGAATGGCAGCACGAACAGAACAACCAGAATGACTGGTGGCTATGGTGCACTCTGGCAGCCAACCCTGCCGGCGTCCCCAATCGGCACCCAACACTCCAATCGGGGTCAGGGCTGGCCAGCCAACCACCTGTGGCCCCTCCCCCTCGCCAGCCCAGCCCAATGGGCCCCCATTGGGGTGGGCCAGCCAGACCCCACCCATGCACGAATTCATAATGTTCTTGTATAAGTATCTGAAACAATTTTAGAATTACTTTTTATCTGGACTGCTACATAACTTCTCATGCAGTTTAAATATAATCTATTTAGTGATATTAGTAAAATGTGATAATATTTAATATATAACCTAAAGTTGCCATGTGCTATTACAGTGAATTTTAAAAATGATACCACTTATCGACTCTTTTTTCTTTGTCCCTAACTTTATTTTATAAGTTTGTTTTTAGAAAAGATATCTTACATATTTCTCTATGAAAAAGTGATTGATTCTTATCTATTTCAGACCTGTGGATATCTGGGCTTTGGGCTGTATGATCATTGAGATGGCCACTGGAAATCCCTTTCTTCCTAGCAGCTCTGATTTGGATTTACTTCATAAAATTGTTTTAAAAGTAGGTAGGTAGGTATTATTGAAATGTACTGTTAAATGCCTAAAATAAGTATGTCCAGATCAAATTTGCTTGATTTTCTTTTTTTTTTTAAATATATTTTATTGATTTTTTTACAGAGAGGAAGGGAGAGGAATAGAGAGTTAGAAACATAGATCAGCTGCCTCCTGCACACTCCCTACTGAGGATGTGCCTGCAACCAAGGTACATGCCCTTGACTGGAATCAAACCTGGGACCCTTCAGTCCCCAGGCCGACGCTCTATCCACTGAGCCAAACGGTTAGGGCTTGATTTTCAAATTTAGTTTTCTCATTATAAGAACAGAGGAGCATATTCTTTTGATAGATGTAGCAGATGCATGCCTTGAGCTGATAAAAAAAAAAAGTAGAAAATTCTCCTCTGTTATTACAAATAATATTTTTTGCCAGGATGCAAATAGGTAAGCCATATGTTGATGGTTGATAATAAGAAAAATAGTACAATAGGAATCTTCTTCAATTTGTTTGAAAATTGCTTAAAATATTTGGCTTCTTATTTGCATACCTTGCCACGCCCGTGTAGTTTAGTGATTGAGCGTTGATCCAATGAACCCGAGGTTATGATTCCTGGTGAGGGCACATGCCCAGGTTGTGGATTCAATCCCCAGTGTGGGGCGTCCAAGAGGTAGCTGATCATTGATGTTTCTATTTCTCTCTGAAATTTAAAATAAAGAAATAAATATTTGCATATCTCAAAGACTTTTAAATAATAGATTTAATTTAGATGGTTTTAAAAAGCACTTGGAGATAGAAAGTCAATTATTTGCTGAGAAAACATTTTTTTTAAACTATAGTAGATAACCAAATAGCTAAATAACTTATTCAAAAAAATATTTGATGAAAGCTGAATTATTTGGTTATCTGTTTGACTAACCAATCATTTTGATAGATATCCTTGCTCATGGAGTTTCAATAAGTTTTTATGTATATATATTTATGAATGAGGAGCTGGAGGAGCCCTTTTTGTGGTGGGGAAGCTATACATAAACATGTAATTACAGGATCATGAGAAAGGTACTGTAAACAACTATAAAAACCATGAAATCTGGATAAATATTGATTAAAGATATAGTTCAGAGCCTTCAAGCATCACCCTTTTTTGTGTCGTTTTTAATGTTCCGAGATTAATGAGATTAATGTTAGAAGGAGCCTTAGAGATGATGGGATCCATTTTGTCTTTTACAGATGAAGAAACCAAGGCACAGAGAGGGAGGAGATTTGCCCAAAGGCACAGAACTAGTTGTATAGCAAAACTGGTACTAACTAGAAATTAGCTCTCTCCACTCCTGTTTATAGTTCTACTACTACTCTATAGCCTGTTTTTTCTTTGCAATATCTAAATAATCTTAATATGCTAGCTTTTCTGAGTAAGGCTTTTTTGATTAACAGTTGCTAGTTAAGCCATTTAGATACTCATATGGAAATATGTAAAAGTTTAGATTTGCTTTTCCTGATGGCATTATATATTATATATTTTATTTTGTGAAAAGAAAACCTGGTTGTTTGATATTCTGTACTGTCTATGTGCTATCAACAGATTACTGGGGAAACTTTAATTTTTATGCTATATTCAGATAGTTCCTTGTTCAACTTAAAAACCACTGTAGCTCAGTGGTTGGAGTGTCAGCCTGCACACCAAAGGGTCTCGGGTTCAATGTGCAGTCAAGGGACCATGCCTGGGTTGCAGGTTCAATCCCCAGTCGAAGCGTGTGCAGGAGCAACCAATCAATGTGTCTCTCTCACATCGATGCCTGTCTGTCTGTCTCTCTCTCTCCCTCTCTCTCTCCCTTTCCCTTCCTTACTCTCTCTAAAAATCGATGGAAAAAATATCCTCTGGTGAGGATTAACAAACAAAACAAAACAAAAAGAAAAATAATTAAATAATTAATTAAAATAACGGAATTGTTATTATCTCTTTTTAGTAACATAATAAAGACCATATAGCAATTTGATTATTTTGATTTAGACTAATTTCTGTGTTTTCTTATATATTTTTCTCTTTTTAGGCAATTTGACACCTCACTTGCAGAATTTCTTTTCCAAGAGTCCTATTTTTGCAGGAGTGGTCCTTCCTCAAGTTCAACACCCCAAGAATGCAAGAAAAAAATACCCAAAGCTAAATGGATTGTTAGCAGATATAGTTCATGTATGTTATGAGATTTAAGGACTTGTTTCTGGGAAATTTGCATACATTATAATACAGTTTTAGGATATTACTTCAATGAAATTCTAAAAGGATTCGTAAAAGTAATGGTATCTGTTAAAGTTCTATATTCCTGTCTTTGTGTTTAGCTCAGAGAAAGTAAAATTCCTAGACTATTAGAACTGAAAGCCATCTAGGATAATCCTGCTTATTATTTTTAGTTCATCCCAATTTTAATGATAATTAGGGATAAACTAGAAATATTCTAAGGACTTACCCTATTTATAACCATCTTTTAATACCCAAGTTAGGGATCTATTCTGTGAACAGTGGTATCCTAAGGTATCTACATGGCTTTGGCAGCTGCAGTTGTAATATTGTTTGGAGACACACCAATGCCAAAATACAACTTGAATTGGAGGGGAAAATTTTTATAGCACTTTTAAATTATTTTAAAATTTAAATTTTGTTTTAAACTAGGTAATAAATATACCTATACACTCACTGCAAAGTTCAAAAGGTAAGAGAGTTTAATGTAAAAAATAACTGTTCCTACTAATTTTTTTTTATCCAGCCAATTTTCTTTCCCAGCATCAACTAAGGTATCTTATTCCTAATGTATAGCCCTTAAAAAAAAGTGGTTATCTAAATTTCAAAGCAAGTACAGTGCAGTGTTTATAAAAAGGGACTCTGGAATCACATAAACTACATTTAAAACCCAGCTCTATCACTAATTAGCCCTGTAACTTTGGACAAGTCACTTAATCTCTGTGCCTCAGTTTACTGGGCTGTAAAACAACATTAACTATTTATTTTCTGGGGCTAGAGGATTAAATGAGGTAATGGTGGCAATGTTCTGAGCACAGGGCCTTGAATAAGCTGTCAACAAATGTTGATGTTGCTGTTATTTAGATAAACTTAAACTTATGTAATATCTAAAGACTATTCTTGAAGGAAAAAATATATTTTATTGGTACCTGGAGAGAACTAGAATTTATTAAAGATCAGATTTGTTTACTACATTTTCAGTTTAATTTCTTTTTTTATTTCATAGTTTTAATTATACACACAATATATAATGATTTTAGAAAAAGTAGAAAACACATGATAAAAAAGAGAAGCTAGGATTTTTCTAACTCCCATAATCCAGGAAAATATTACAGTTAACATTTTGGTTTAGATACTTGCAGACTGCCCAACAAATATATGCTTAGAAATTTATGCTTTTTAAGTGCTGCCTCTAGCTACAGACCCGATATCTGTAAACCTCAGCTCTAACAGTTTCTAGCCATGGGAGTTGCAGTACATTGGGCCATATATACAGTCATGTGCCACATAACATTTTGGTCAACCACAGACCGCATACATGGTGATCCGTTAGGATTGTAATGGAGCTGAAAAATTCCTGTTGCCTAGTGATGTTGTAGTCATTATAAGGCCAGAGCATAGCACAACTCATTACTCATGTGGTTGTGGTGATACTGGTGTAAGCAAACTTACTGAGATGCCAGTTGTATTAAAGTATAGCATATACAATTATGTTCAGTATATAATACTTGATAATAAATGACTAAGTTACTGGTTTATGTAAAAAAGAGAAATTTAAGCTTTTTAAAACGTATCATACTTTACACACTATTATGTAACCTGTTAATCTTCATTTAGCATTATAATATGATAAACATATTACCATGTTAGCAAATTGGAACTACATCACAATTTTCTGTAATTGCATAGTGTTTCATTGTATGACAATACCATAGTTTATTTAGTTGATCTTGCAATTTTGGACATTTGTTTTCAGGTTTTTTCCCCTTCGCTATTGGTAAAGATGCTACAATAAACATCTTTTATATCTGTCTTTCTGAATTTGCTTTATTTTTGTTTAGCATAAATTTCTAAAATGTGAGTAGTGGGCGAAGGGTTTATACTTTTTAAAATTTTTTTATGTATTTTGCTATTTTTTTTCTCCAGAAAGATTTTACTGATTTATACTCAAGTTCTCTCATGTAGCATTGGATATAAATTCCCACTCTTAATCTAGCATTAGATGTTATACTTTAAAAAAATATTTGCTGATTTAATAGACTAGAAATAATGTCTCTTTTTTAAAATATATTTTTAATATATTTTTATTGATTTCAGAGAGGAAGGGAGATGAAGAGAGAGATAGAAACATCAATGATGAGAGGGAATTGTTGATTGGCTGCCTCCTGCAGGCCCCCCCACTGGGGACCAAGCCCGCAACCCAGGCATGTGCCCTTGACTGGAATCGAACCCTGGACCCTTCAGTCCTCAGGCCGATGCTCTATCCACTAAGCCAAACCAGCTGCAGTGGTTGGCAAACTCATTAGTCAACAGAGCCAAATATCAACAGTACTTCTTCAAAATAGACTCGCCCAGGCCAAAAACCGACTTCTGCGCATGGACCACGAAGTTTCAATCACACTGTACGTGCGTGCCTGCACGTGGTATTTTGTGGAAGACCCACACTCAAGGGGCCAAAGAGCCACATGTGGCTCCCAAGCCGCAGTTTGCCGACCACTGAGCTAGGGCAATGTCTCTTTTTTTATTGTTAATCCTCACCTGAGGATGAGTGGAAAGGAAGGAGGGAGCAGGGTGAGGGTGGGGATATAGGGGGGAGAGAGAGAGAGGGAGGGAGGGAGGAAGGAAAGAAGGAAGGAAGGAAGGAAGGAAGGAAGGAAGGAAGGAAGGAAGGAAGGAAGGAAGGAAGGAAGGAAGGAAGGGTCAATTGGTTGCCTTCCGCAGATGCCTCAATCAGGGCCAGGGATCAAGCCTGCAATCCAGGTATGTGGGTACGTGGGTACGTGGGTACGTGCCCTTGACTAGGAATTGAACCCACAACCCTTCCGTGTATGGGCTGGCACTCTAACCACTGAGAAACACAGGCCAGGACTGTATGTTTAAAATTTTAAAAGTATATATATTTTTATTGATTTCAGAGAGGAAGGGAGAAGGAGAGGGAGAGGGAGAGGGAGAGGGAGAGGGAGAGGGAGAGAGAGAGAGAGAGAGAAACATCAATGATGAGAGAGAATCATTGATCGGCTCCCTCCTACACACCCTACACTGGGGATAGAGCCCACAACCTGGGCGTGTGTCCCGACCGGGAATTGAACTGTGACCTCCTGGTTCATAGGTTGATGCTCAACTACTGAACCATGCCAGTAGTTTTTAAAGGAACTGCCTGTTTGTTTCCCAAAGTATCATATGTTACATTTTCCAAACCAGGGCATGTTTTTAAATTTTCTGAATTATATTATTCATAGAAGGACTAATTTGTCTGCCTCTAATAGGCTATGTCTTACACAAACCTTTCAGCATTTTTCTTAGTAAGTTTTATTGATGAATTACTATTATGTTTTAAAAATAAACACATATGTTTAGCTAGTTGCAGTTTTAAGGATCTAGGTATTCCCACATTATAAAGTAAATAATGGTCTCAATTTCACTTCGAGTCAATTTCTTTTATTGTAGTAAAACACACATAACATGAAATCTACTCTCTTACCACATTTTAAAATGTAGAGTACTTTCCAGGTTGATAAGAGAGTCAATAGGACCTAATTAAATTTCTGCAAATGCCAGCCAAAATAAACTGGCTTCTGTTTTGACTAGAATCATAGGGCATTTAACCTGTAATAATGCTTTACAAGTACAAATTTCTTAGGAAAATAAATGGTCAGAACTCATTGTCAGACATTCCTGAGGTCTAATTCCATCTTTTCAAGAATGCTATTAGCTCTGGGTAATTAATTACTTTTATTCTTGTCAAATAAATTGAACTTTTGTTTCATAGAGCCCTGTTAAGAGCTTATTTAACCATAGAATCTTGTTTTTATTTTCTAGGCTTGTTTACAAATCGATCCTGCTGAGAGAATATCATCTGCTGATCTTTTGCATCATGAGTATTTTACTAGAGATGGATTTATTGAAAAGTAAGCGTTTTGAGTGAATGTAGACTTCTAAGTGTTTTGTATTAGGAAATTTTACTAGCATGAAAGTAATTGCTACATAGGTTAATGTTACACAACAGAAAAATTCAATTTAATGAAAACTTACTGAGTTCCTATGTTGATTAGTTATATAGTAGACTTACAGGTGTCATAATAATAAAAATAATTGCAGTGCTCGCTTCGGCAGCACATATACTAAAATTGAAATGATACAGAGAAGGTTAGCATGGCCCCTGCGCAAAGATGACACGCAAATTCGTGAAGCGTTCCATATTTTGAAAAAATTAAAAGATAATAATTTAAATTAACATTCATTACACAATTACTATATCCTAGGATGTGTGCTAAGTTCTTTACAAACATTTGCAATGGTCATCATTGGCCAGAAATAACATTAAATAAGTAATCAGTAATTTCTAATTTTTTCCCCATTTGGAGCTCTGACTCAGAATAGTCTGTTTTTTCTTGTTCTGATACCATCTCTGATATATACATTAAAATTAAGATTAATGCCCTGACTGGGTAGCTCAGTTGGTTAGAGCACTGTCCCAATATGCCAACATTGTGGGTTCAATTCCCAGTCAGGGCATATACAAGAAGCAACCAATAGGACTTCCTGTCAAAATGGCAGCGTAGGTAAATGTGGTACCCAAATCCTTCCACAACCAGGTCAAAAATACAACTAAATTAGAGAGCAAACATCATTCAGAACTGCCTGAAATATAGCTGAATGAAAGTTCTACAAATAGGGTTTTAAAGACGAAGCCACATTGAGACTGGTAGAAGGGACGGAGACGCGGGACGGGCTGGTCCCACATCCACATGTGGCAAATAAAAATCAGGAGGGATATCTCAGCTGTGGAAGTCCCCACTGAGTAGTGAGGGGTCCCAGCCCCCCAACCCAGGGTTCCAGTGTCAGGAAGACAAAAATATAAAATAAAAATAAGAAGGCCAAACTAAAACCATCTCCCTTCAATATTGATATTCTGTTACATTTTATACTGTTACATTTTGACTTCAGAGAGGAATGGAGAGGGAGAGATAGATAGAAACATCAGTAATGAGAAAAAAAATCATTGATCAGCTGCTTCCTGCATGCCCCCAACTGGGGATTGAGCCCACAACCCAGGCATGTGCCCTTGACTGGAATCGAACTTGGGACCCTTCAGTCTGTAGGCCACTGAGCCAGACCAGCTAGGGTATGAAAATATTTTTCTAGCCGAACCGGTTTGGCTCAGTGGATAGAGCGTCGGCCTGCGGACTCAAGGGTCCCGGGTTCGATTCCAGTCAAGGGCATGTACCTTGGTTGCAGGCACGTCCCCACTGGGGGGCATGCAGGAGGCAGCTGATCGATCTCTCTCATCGATGTTTCTGACTTTATATCTCTCTCCCTTCTTCTCTGTAAAAAATCAATAAAATATATTTAAAAAAAAAAAAGAAAAAAGAAAATATTTTTCTATAGTAAGATTTCAGAAACTTATCAATTTATCTTTTAAATACTATTACTTTAAAGAACCACAAAAAGGACAAAGGGACATGAGTCTGCCTTAAAAAGAATAGTATACTTATCAAAATTAAAAGCAATATTTGTAAAGTTTGCATCACAAAAGAAATCTAATTTCTCTAAGTCTATTTTGTAAAGGTTTTTTAAAATCTTTATTGTTGAGAGTATTACAGATGTCCTCCGCTTCCCCCCCCAATTGCTCCCCTCTACCCTGTTCCCACCCCACCCTTACTGTCTGTGTCCATAGGTAAGTCCTTTGGTTAATCTCTTCTTGCTCCCCCTCCCCCTTCCCTCTGAGGTTCATCAGTCTCTTCCATGCTTCCATGCCTCTGATTCTATTTTATGCACCAGTTTATTTTTTTTCATTAGATTTCTTGTTCATTTATTTTGATTTTTAGACTTAAATTGTTGATAGATATGTATTTGTTGCCATTTTATTGTTCATATTTTTGAGCCTTCTTCATCTTCCCTTCTTCTCCTCCTCCCCCTCCTCCCCCTTCTCCTCCTCCTCCTCCTCCTCCTCCTCCCCCCCCCCCCTTCTTCTTTCTCTTCCTCTTAAAGAATCCCCTTCAACATTTCAGGTTTGGTGGTGATGAACTCCTTCAGTTTTTTCTTGTTTGTAAAGCTCTTTATCTGACCCTCGATTCTAAATGAGAGCTTTGCTGGGTAGAGTAATCTTGGTTGTAGCTCCTTACTATTCATCACTTTGACTATTTATTGCCATTCCCTCTGGCCTGCAAAATTTCTGTTCAGAAATCAGCTGACAATCTCATGGGCACTCCCTTGTAGGTAACTAACTGCTTTTAAGATTCTCTCTTTGTCTTTAACCCTTGGCATTTTAAAAAATATATTTTTATTAATTTCAGAGAGGAAGGGAGAGGGAGAGATAGAAACATCAATGATAAGAGAATCATCCATTGGCTGCCTCCTACACACACCCCAGTCTTCAGTAATTTGCTTGCTTCCATTTCTTTTCCTCCCTATGTGATATGTTTCTTTGTCTCCACATTTTGGCTGCTTGTTTTGTTTATTTTTATGTATTAAGTAGAGCTTCTGTGTCTTCTAGAATTGGTAGAGTGGCCTTGTGTAGTAGGTGTCCTGTTGGGCCCAGTGGCTTAGCCTCCCAGTCACCTGAGCTGGACACTCTAGGTGTGCCCCTATGTGGGCTATGTGCATAGTCTTGTAGTTGAGTCTTGATTGCTGTTGGCATCACTGGGAGAAGTTGACCTCCAGGTCAACTGGCTGTGAGGATGAGCTGTAACTAAGGTGGGAGAATTGTTGTGTAGGAAATACCCCTAGGAGCAGGATTTGCTTCAGTGGGGCTTTGGTACTCACCGAGTCTGCCTCTTGAGTGTGTTGCTTGTGGATGTGTAGATTTGTAATCTGCTATGGCCTGAAGCTGCACTAGCTCTAGGGCCTCCAGGAAGATGCAGTCAGCCACTGCCTGGGGCCACCTGGCAGGAGCTACAAAGGGATCTTCAGATGGCTGCTATTTGCTATTTGTATTGGGCTTGGAGGCCCAGATGAGGCCCAGCTGTGAAGCGAGGCAGGCTGGTGCTAGTGCTGGGTCTTAGGCCTTTTATTGATAGGTTTGGGGCAAGCTGTCACCAGCTTCAGCTTTTTTGAGAGATTTTAGCAAAGTCTGAAGCCTGAGCCAGGACAGGCCATTCATATGGAAAAGCTGCTGTAGACAGCTTGGTTGGGGCTGCAAAATGGATGGGGCAAGGTCTCAGGGAATCCCCAAGGTGGAGCAAACAGTGTGCTCCAGGCTAATGGAGACTCAGACATGGCTGCCAGTCAGCCCTGAAACAGGGGAGGTCCCAGCACAGGAATGATGACCCCTGTAGCAAACCCATCTGGAAGAAAGCTGCCCCTGATTTCCTGCCCCGATGCTAGATAATCCAGGTCCTCCCCGTATGTGTCTGGGTCCCCCTGGTGCTGGAGCTCAGAAGAAGCAGGACCAGGTAAGTTTGTGTGCAGGCTCTTTAAGGGGAACACCTGGGATCCCAGTAACCTCTGATTCCCTCAGCCACAATCCCTGCTGGTTGTTACGGCCCATAGTTTCGGACACTTTTCTTCCCAGCTCTGGAACCCTGAGCTGGGGTCTGGTGTGGGGCTGGGATCCCTTGTTCCACATGGACAGCCTCATGATTCAAAAAATGGCACATGTGGGTGTCTGACCAGCCTGTTCCCCGCCTCTGCCCCTCTTACTAGTCTCAGTGTTCTTTCTTCTTTACTTCTCTAGTTGTAGGACTTCTATTCAGCCAGCTTTCAGGTGATTCTGAATAATATTTGTTCCGTATTTTAGTTGTAATTTTGATGTGATTGTAGGAGGTGGTGAGTACAGGCAGTTATCTATGCTGCCATCTTGGTTCTTGCTGTAAAAGTTTTATATAGTAAACTAGAGGCCCGGTGCACAAAATTTGTGCACTCAGGGAGGGGTGTCCCCTCAGCCCGGCCTGTGCCCTCTTGCAGTCTGGGACCCCTCGGGGGATGTCCACCTGCTGGCTTAGACCCGCTTCCCAAAGGATCGGGCCTAAACTGGCAGTCAGGCATCCCTCTGGCAACCCGGGAGCCCTCAGGGGATGTCCACTTGCCAGTGGGGAGCAGGCCTAAGCTGCAGTCGGACATCCTTAGCGTTGCTGAGGAGGCGGGAGAGGCTCCTGCCACCACCACTGTGCTGGCAGCCATCAGCCTGGCTTGTGGCTGAGCAGAGCTTCCCCTGTGGGAGCGCACTGACTATCAGGGGGCAGCTCCTGCATTGGGCATCTGCCCCCTGGTGGTCAGTGTGTGTCATAGTGACCAGTCATTCTGCTGTTAGGGTCAATTTGCATATTACCCTTTTATTATATAGGACTCCCATGGCAAAATTGAAAGATTGGTCTTTACCAGGAAGCAATTTGTATTGGGTAAATAAATATTGGGCCATTTTGGGCATGCATTCTTTTTTTTTTTTTTTTTTTTTTAACAAGAATGCTTGCTCTTTTTTAAAAAAAATATTTTTATTGATTTCAGAGAGGAAGGAAGAGGGAGAGATAGAAACATTAATGATAAGAGAGAATCACTGATTGGCTGCCTCCTGCATGCCCCCCACTGGGGATTGAGCCCGCAACCTAGGCATATGCCCTTAACTGGAATAGAACCTGGGACCCTTCAGTCCGCAGGCCAATGCTCTATCCACTGAGTCAAACTGGCTAGGGCTGGGCATGCATTCTTGATTACTTATTTATTCTGTGGTTAAAATGTAAATTAATTGATTAAATGGTCTATTAAAGATAAAATTATCTACATAAATAAAAAGATTATTGGTTAATATTGCTTGTTTTATCAGATTCATACCAGAACTAAGAGCTAAATTACTACAAGAAGCAAAAGTCAATTCATTCATAAAGTCAAAGGAGAATTCTAAAGAAAATGAACTTATGAAAGATGAAAGAAAAACAATGCATACTGATACACTTCTACGAACTTCAGTTTTGGGAAAGGTAAAAACTGTTTTTCTTTTTAGCCAGTAACATTATAGTTAGCACACTAATGATAAAAATTACAGACTCAGATTGTGGATGTATCTATTCCAGGAAATGGAAAAAGAGAAAAAGCCCAAGGAAATAAAAAACAGAGTTATTAAAGTCAAAGGAGGAAAAGTAGATACCTTAGAACCAAAAAAGACAGAGTATGAAAGTGGACATGGTCAGTCAGATGCAACTGAAAATGCTCATACTGTGTCTCAAAATGTAAAATCTGTAATCAATGAACCACCAAACCCTGCCAATCCCAGCACTAACTCTACTGGCATGAAAGACAATCCACATGCTGGAGGTAATATGATGATGCCACCCATCAACCTAACTAGCAGTAACTTGATGGCTTCCAATCTCAATTCAAATCTCTCCCACTCCAATTCAAGGTGAGTTCTAACAGAAAAGAGACAGAAGGAAATGGACCTAAGTAATATAATGTTCCTATATAATAGTATTCAAAGAATCAGATTCATAGTATCTGTATGTAAACTGAATTTGAAGACACATTGAAATTATAATCATACAATGGCCCATTACTGAGTCCTTCTTATAAATACTGTAGAAGAAATTAACTTTTCTTGGCTATCCAGAAGTTTAATTTTTCACTAATGCTTTTTGGAAAAGCCTCAATTTTCCAACAAACAAACAAATAAACAAAAACTAAACACACACACACAAAAAACACAAAACCTTAGAAACATTTCTTCTCATTTGGAGAGGAAAAAAAGGTGCTATGACCTAAGTCCTGGTATTGACCTGCCTTGGTATAACAAAGTAAGCTTTATTTCTGTATCAAAGAGAGTTCTCTAAATGGAGAGAGGATGGTTGAGAATAACCTTTTATAGTCAAATAGTCTTTCAAGGTCAAATATTTTGGGAGTAAACCAACATATTGGGCTAGTTTTAGCTACTAATACAGATTGAGAGAATGGTGCATCAGTCTGTTCATCAAGGGCAGTGTGATGGATGGCAGGGTCTGTCTAGTAAATCACCAGTTCTAAATTTAGGGAAACTACAATATATCTAGATGAGGAAGGAGACTAGGTTCAATATCCCAAGCTGATCCTGCCAGACTGATTTGGGCTATATGCTGGGAAACTTAGTGCTCTGCAGAGGTAGGCAAGTGGACCTATGTGGACATGTCTGTGTCAGTCGAAAGGTTCAGCAGGTTATAGACAGCAAGAGCTCAGTTGTTCTTGAGATGACCCAAAAACTATTGCTGCAATAACCATGGTTGTAAACCAGCTTTGGACAGCAAGTTCAGAAATTCAGAAACCCAGAAATTCAAAGACCCAGGTTCAGATCAGATAGAAGGGACCAAGTGGGCCAATTGGAATAACCCTAAAACATGGTTGTTACCACTGATGTTAGCCATAACTGAGTTGTTCTCCTCTCTGTTTTCACCTCTCTACTTAGAGCAGTGAGCACTTAAAGACTGACAATTGCATTTTGGCACTCAGTGTTCTAACTAGACTTCCATGGTATAACTTACTCAAAACAGAAGCACTTCTGGGGAGTTCTAATAACTATTTACTTGTTTTTAAATAATAGGTTATCTGAAAGAGCAAAAAAGAGACATACTTCTTCACAATCTATTGGACACGTTATGACTAATAACAGGCAAGAGGATACAGGTCCCACTCAAGTAAGGCAAGAAGCTAGTCATTAAATTATGGCCTCTTTCAACATTATCCCTCTAACTTGTCCCCTTGCCCTTTTCTCCATCTCTGGGGCACCAATATTTATTAAAATGTACTTTTAGTTTCCTTTTTCCCCTCCTGAGATGAAAATAGGCCATCATTTCCTTAGTGCCTTCACAATTTTAGTTAATCTTTTAACTTGATTTGTGTATTCAGTGTGTTACTTGGGGGGGAGGGTGTGTTAAATGTTTCACCTTTAAAAGTCACAAGACTTGCTCTAACCAGTTTGGCTCAGTGGATAGAGCATCAGCCTGCGGACTGAAGGGTCCCAGGTTCAATTCTGGTCAAGGGCATGTACCTTGGTTGTGGGCACATCCCTAGTAGGGAGTGTGCAGGAGGCAGCTGATCGATGTTTCTCTCTCATCGATGTTTCTAACTCTCTATCCCTCTCCCTTCCTCTCTGTAAAAAATCAATAAAATATATTTTTTTAAAAAGTCACAAGACTTTTTTAAAAATTTATTTTTATTGTTGAAACTGTTACAGATGTCTCCCTTCCCCCCAATGACCCTCTGTACCCCACTCCCCCTCTTCACTGGCCTTCATTGTACTATTGTCTGTACAGCTTTGTTTTTTTGTTTTTGCACCTCAAAAATGTTAATACCTTACTTTATAGAATAAAGCAATTGCCAAAAAGATACATTTTAGTTTTCACTAGAAAAAAATAATCAGTGTAGTTCATTCCCTCATTTTTTTAACATAGAAAAGTACTTATTAAAAAATTGAACCATAGTGTTATTTACAATAAGAAATTGAAAACAAATTCATCCAAGAGCAAACTGGTTAAATACATTAGAGTATATCTACACAATGGGATACTATATATTACATTGTGGAAGATTGTTCATTAACCTAGGAAAGTTTTTCTTTTCCTTTTTATTAAAAATTTTTTAAAGGGTAGTCTTATGTTTTGTAATATTTTTATTTATTGATTGTGAGAAAGAGAGGAAGGGGGAGAGAGAGAGCAAAGAACATTAATTTGTTGTTCCACTTATTTGTGCATTCATTGGTTGATTCTTGTATATTCCCTGACCAGGGACCAAACCTGCAATCTTGGTATATTGGGATGACGCTCTAACCAAAGAGCTACCCAGCCATGGCCTTTTATTTTTAAACTTCAGTTGACCTACAATATTATATTAGCTTCAGGTGTATAACCTTGTGATTAGACATTTATCTAATACAAAGTGATCACCCCAATACATCCAGTATCCATCTGACACCATACATAGTACAATATTGTTGACTATATTCCCTATGCTGCACTCTACATCCCCATGACCATTCTGCAACCACCAATTTGCATTTCTGAATCCCTTCATCTCTTTCACCCATTGCTCCAACCCCCTCTCCCATCTGACAACCGTCAAAGTGCTCCCTGCATCTATGAGTCTGCCTCTGTTCTGTTTGTTTGTCTATTTTGTTTTCTAGATTCCACATTTAAGTGAAATCATCTGGCATTGTCTTTCTGACTGACTTATTTCACCTAGCACAAAACATTCTAGGTTCATCCATATTGCCACAGATACCAAGATTTCATTTTTTTATGGCCAAATCATATTCCATTGTATATATGCACCACTTCTGTTTGTTTGTTTGTTATCTGTTAATCATCACCCGAAGACATTCTCTCCATTGCCTTTTAGAGAGAGTATAACTGGGAGGGAGAGGAGGGGAGAGAAAGAGAGAAATATAGAAATAGGAAGAGAGAGAGAGAAGGGTGTGAGAGATACACATTGATTGGTTGCCTCCTGCATGCATCCCGACCAGGGCTGGGGTCGAGTCTGAAACCCAGGTGTGTGACCTTGACCAGGAATCCAACCCATGACCCCTCGGTGCACAGGCTTGTACTCTAACCACTGAAAACACCAGCACAGCATGCACCATTTCTTTTTTATCCACTCATCTATTGATGGACACTTAGATTGCTTCCATATCTTGGCTATTATAAATAATGCTGCAATAAACATATGAATGCTGCCTGGCATGTGTGGCTCAGTGGTTGAGTTTTGACCTATAAACCAGGAGGTCATGATTCAATTCAGGGTCAGGGCACATGCCCAAGTTGTGGGCTGGATCCCAAGTGTGAGGTGTGCAGGAGGCAGTCAATCAATCATTCTTTCTTGTCATTGATGTTTCTCTCTCTCTCTCTCTCTCTCTCTCTCTCCCTCTTCCTTCCTCTATAAAATCAATAAAAAATATATTTAAAATATATACATACATATATATGTATATATGTATGTATATATTTTAAAGTGTAATAAAAAAACAACATGAATGTATATATCTTCGATTTAGTGTTTTGGGTTGCTTTGGATAAATACCCAGAGGTGGAGTTGCTGGGTCTTTGTCTCTTGTTTTGGCTTTTTTTTAAAGTCTATTTTGTCTGGTATAAGTATTTTACCCCAGCTTTTTTTGTTTTATTTTCATTTTCACGAAGACCCTTGAATATTTCATATAATACTGAATTGGTGGTGATGAACTCCTTTAATTTTTCTTGTCTGGGAAGCTCTTTATCTGTCCTTTGATTATAAATGATAGCTTTGCTAGGAAGAGTAATCCTGATTTTAGGTCATTGCTTTTCATCACTTTGAATATTTTGTGCCAATCACTTCTGGCCTGCAAAGTTTCTTCTGAGAACTTAGTTGACAATCCTATGGGAGCTCCCTTGTAGGTTACTAACTGCTTTTCTCTTGCTGCTTTTAAGATTCTTTCTTTGTCTTTAACCTTTGGCATTTTAGTTATGATGTATCTTGGTGTGGGCCTCTTTGGGTTCATCTTGTATGGGACTCTCTGTGCTTCCTGGACTTGTATGTCTGTTTTCTTTGCCAGGTTAGGGAAGTTTTCCATCATCACGATGCAAATGTTGGTGTGCTTGAAGTTGTCCCAAAGGCTTTTTACACTATCCTAATTTCATTGGATTCTTTTTTCTTTTTGCTATTCTATTTGGTTGCTTTCTGCTCCCTTATATTCTAAGTAATTGATTTGATTCTCTGCTTCATCTACTCTACTGTTGATTTCCTGTCATTTATTCATTTCAGTTAGTGTATCCTTAATTTCTGATCACTCTTTTTTATGGTTTTCATATTATCTTTTATGCTGTTGAAATTCTCACTAAGTTTCTTGAGTATCCTTATAACCATTGTTTTGAACTCAGTATCTGGTAGTTTGCTTGCCTTCATTTTATTTAGTTCTTTTTCTGGAGATTTCTCCTGTTCTTTCATTTGGGACCTGTTTCTTTGTCTCCTTATTTTGGCTGCTTCCCTGTGTTTGATTCTATGTATTAGGTAGAGCTGCCATGTCTCCTGGACTTGGTAGAGTGTCCTTGTTTGTTAGGTGTACTGTAGGGCCCATTGGTGAAGCCTCCCCAGTCACCCAAGCTTTGTGCCCCTGTGTGGGCTGTGTGCAATGTCCTGTTGTAGTTGAGCCTTGATTGCTGTTGGCACATCACTGGGAGAAATTGACTCCCCAAGCCAATCAGCTTCTAGGACCAGCTGAAACTAAGGGAAAAGGACTTGCCTCAGTGGGGTTTGATGCCCACTGAACCTACCTCTTGAGGGTGTCACTAATGGAGGTGGTTGGGTTGTAATCTGGTGTGATCTGAAGCTCTCCACTGGGTCAGCCACCACCTGTGCCCTGCCTGGGGCCACCCAGCATGAGCTATAAAGCAATCTGCCAATGGCTGTTATTTATGCTGAGCTTAGAGGTGCCCAGGAGAAGCCAAGCTGTGGTCCAAGGCTGGCTGCTACTAGTGCCAGGTGTGGGGCCACTTAGCAAAGATATGGGGTACACAGAGGCAGATGCTACTTGTTTGTGAGATTTTAGGAAAGTCTGAAGCATGAGGCAAGAGAGGCTGTTTATATGGAAAAACCACTGGACTTGTATGCCTACAAACTGGGTGGAGTGGGATTTCAGGGAATCATCGGGCTGGGGAAACATGTTAGTTAGCTAGATTGATGGAGACTCAGATATGGAGTCGGCCACCAGCTCTGGGGGGAATGGGCAGAGGAACAATGGCCTCTGCCAGCACTTGAGTCTGGGAGAAAGCTGCTCCTTCAGCCCTCACCTTGAAGCCAGACAGTTCAGTTAACCTAGGAAAGTTTTTATCATCTGTTGTCAAATGAGCAACATCAGAAAACATAAAAGGTTTTCCAGAATGCCGAGTTCACAAGTAATTTATTTTCCTTTTGGGTTTTCCCAGTGTCCAGAGCACATTATTTTTAAATTGAAAAATAATTTTTAAAAATAACAATATGTTTTTATTTATTTTAGAGAGAGAAGAAGGAAGAGGGAGAAAAAGAGAAACATTGATCGGTTGCCTCCTATATGCACCCTTACTGGGGATTGAACCCACCACATGGGCATGTGCCCTTACTGGGAATTGAACCTGCTATCTTTTGGTGCATGGGATGATGCTGAACCAACTGAGCCACACTGGTGAGGGCTAGAGAAGTAAATTTTTAATAAAATGAATTGAAGCAATTTGTCCAAAGTCAGAGTATAATGAATAGGATTAAAAATTAAAAGTTAAGATTGTGGTTCTCATGATCAAGACTATTATTCCCAGAATATTCAATATGCTAAAAATAATGTTGCTTTATGAAACTTTTATTGAACTTTAATCTGTTTATATATTTATTGTTATTCTTTCTTAGAAGGCATTGCTATGCATACCTTATACCAGCGGTCGGCAAACTGCGGCTCACGAGCCACATGTGGTTCTTTGGCCCCTTGAGTGTGGCTCTTCCACAAAATACCACGTGCGGGCGCACACATACAGTGCGATTGAAACTTCGTGGCCCATGCGCAGAAGTCGGTATTTTGTGGAAGAGCCACACTCAAGGGGCCAAAGAGCCGCATGTGGCTCGCGAGCCACAGTTTGCCAACCACTGCCTTTATACCATCTGAATGGCTAACAATTCTAGGCTTGTCATTGAATAGTTACACATTTTTCTTCAGATTAACTCTTGGTTATTTGTTTGTTTAGAACCAAATGGAGAAAGGTGTATTCAGTGAGCGGACCAGTCAAAGTGACCATATGGCAAGTGGAAATAAAAGGAAGCTGAATTTCTCCAGACCTGACAGGAGAGAATTCCATTTCCCAAAACTGCCTTTCATAATACAATCAAGTGAGATGAAAAGAACGGAAGGTACATAATTGTTGCACAGCATTACAAATCTCCCAATGTTATCTTTCACAAAACCTTTTTTCTAACATAACTTGCACGTTATAGCATGATTTAGGTAGAAAATAGTAAATTACTGTGAAAAATATTTTCAGCAGATGAGGATGCCCTCCCCCCTACCCCCCATCATCAAATAAGGGGCGAGACTTAAATGAGAAAATTTTAAAGAAAGGTTAAGAAAACTTTAGAAGTTAAATATTTTATTAGCTTAGTATTGTTGAAATGTTAAGAACAGTATTTAAAGAAGGTGGTTTTGGTTCAGTATATGATCTGGAACAAATCAATTTCCTATGTTTACCCATGATTATTTGCCCATATAATGGCAGGAATTATATATGAGCTTCAGGAATCCACGGAATTAGTAGATTAAGATTTTTAACAGGTATTGATTTCTTAAAATGAAACTCATTTTTTGGCAGAGTAAATGTTATGTTCTTTGAAGAACAGTGACACCTTGTGAAAACTTAATATAATAGCAAGAATATAGTACTTATACAGTTCAAGAGGAATTATCCGATCCATTTGACAGTTATACTCAGAATTTTAAAAATACATGTATTCTTTTAATGATATATTACTTGTAAAGTTATAAAACAAATAATTTATGACTGGTGCATTTTACCATTACAACTCATAATTTGTTCAGTCCCTTTTCAATAAAGTGAGAAACTGACTTAAGTGGGCATCAGAATTTCCATTTGAAACTCTTAAAAAGGAAAGTAAAATTTTCATGAAGAATAATAAGTTGTCATTGTTGTATATATTTTTGCAAAAGTTAAACAGATAAAAGTGCCAAAGAAGGAATCAAAGAAAACAGATTCATCTAAAATACCAACGTTACTTAATGTGGACCAAAATCAAGAAAAACAAGAGGTAAAACATTTTTTGTTTATAGATTTAACTAAAGAATGCTGTTTAGAATCCTTGACTTGGTGTGTAAATTTAGTTATTATCATTGGAAAGTTATGTAAAAATTAAAAATTCTGTAATCTTTGAAGTTGAGAAACCGATATATATATTTCCAGAATAACTACTTACTAAAGGTTTTATAACTTTTTTGCGGGGGAGGGTAATGAACACCAGCCTTTATTTGAATGTTGAAGTGATTAGAATATTGTATTCAGGGAAAGGAGTATGTGTTATGTGTATTACCAAGCATTGGACAAGTAGCCTATGCCAGAGGAAATGAATAATGGTATAAACTTATGGTGTACTGGCCACAAGAAAAGATTTGTCTTGAGCCTCTTCCTGGTTTGTTTTTTCCCCTCCAATTTGTTCTCGAATACCTTCTGTCTACCTGCTGTCCTATTTTCACAAATATTTGCTCTTAGCTAGCTATCAGATAATCTTGTTGAAATGTCCCAGCCCCGACCCACCAGAGAGAGTCTTGAATTTTACTTGGAAATCTGAAGCCCTAAACATCCAAATGAATACTCTCTAAGCGTATTCTTTTGAAAGAAGGGGATTGTGCAGAGCACCCACTGAATTAAATCACATAGTTAGCCTTCTATTTTCGGGAGGTCAGCAACTTTGTTATCCCAGTTTCTTATTTTTTTTAAAAAAAACTGATTACATTTAAAAAATAATAGTTCACTGATTTTTAGAAAGAAGGGAGAGGAAAAGAAAGAAACATTGTTATGAGAGGGTTGCCTCCTGCATGCCCCCTGCTGGGGATCAAGCCCCCAACCCGGACTCGTGCTCTGACTGGGAATGGAACCAGCAACCTTTCCGTGCACAGGACAACACCCAACCAACTGAGCCACACAGCCCAGAGCTTGATTACATTTTTATTCATGATAAAATTAGCACATCCCTATCAAGGAAATTTGAGTAAATTAGAAAAATGAAGAAATTCTTATCTGAAACTACTTAAGAAGGTATTTTAACTAAGTCTGTTCAATCTCTACAACATTCAAGTAAAACAGTTATCGACATTGTTAGATATACTTTTTGCGACATTTATACTTTATTCTTGGCCTAGAACATGTTAAGAGCTCTCCAGTTTATTTTGCAGAAAGGAGAAATTTTCTAGCTAGAACATGAAAGCCACTAGTGGTCATCTTTTAGTTAATTATAAAAAGTATTAAGGTTGCTTTAAACTTTGGTGACTTGATGTTGAACAGCACACCATTTGCACATATTTTGAATGATTGGTGAGTTAGGGCTCCTGAGTTTGGGCATGTTAGTAATGTGCTATTATGTATTTATCCCTCTGTCCTCAGAGAGCCCCTCTGGAACTACAATTAACATGCCAATGCAAAAAGAAAAGAACTCTTAAGATAGTTCTGTAATTTTAAAATACAAAAGTAAATAGAAAGGGAAAATTCCTTCTTGCTCATATGGTGTAGAACTTCTAGAAAGCTGGCATTTTTAAGAATGACCTTGAAACGGTTGTAGTTATTAGAAAAAATTAAAAAAGAGAAATAACCAGAAGTTATCAATGGTGATTGTATTTTATTTGTATTGCCCATTCAAATGCAGTTTTGACAAGTGACTGAAATTGCATCTAAGGCTATTCTAGACACTTTTAATAAATTAATGTCAGAATTAAGAATATTTCCTAAATTTTGAGTTGGTAGTTTGTTATAACAGTTTAGAGCAAAAAAGAATATCACATGTTTTTAAAAATATAAGAGGTACTAGCAACTTATTTGTTTTATTCTTTGCTCTGTCATTGACTTGTTTTTGAATTACCTAATCAGATCCAGGCACTTCCCAGTTGTACATTAAACTGTTTTAGGCATCTTAAATGTATGCTGAAATAGTACATGCATGCATTGAATAGACTCTGTGATCTAAAGAGAAACCCGAAATTACTGCTAAAGAGTGTATTAGGAACAGAGATAAGAGCCCATACAAAAGTTACCTTCAGTTCTGTTTCATGATGATAATGAGGATACTTTGCTAGATAGTCTCCCTGAACCCTATGAAACAGCCTCCAGGTGCAAAGTACAAGTACTTATCTGTGGCTATATTTCCTTAGCCAAAGACTCACCATTTCCTCAATTAAGGTCCTTGTTTCTATTTACTTTTTAGAATGCAGGAAATGCACAAACTGAAAGGAAGAAGAACCTGCCAGATGCAGAATAGAAAAGGCAGCAGCTGAAAATTCAGGGAATCCCAGAATCACTGTATGGTTTTTAAAAAATCCTTTTTTTAATATTACATGCAAAAAATGCTACTAGATAATTCTACAAATATATAATAAATTTTGTGTAGATAAATATATATTCACCTAAATTTGTTTTTAAATGTATTAATCTTTAAATTATTTATGTTTTCTTAATTTGAACATTAAATTATATATATATAAAAACTGCCTGACTGGTACATCCTAATACAACTACAGCTTATATTAAATCATATAATTTTAATTAATTTATTTATTTTTATTTTTTAACGTTTTTATTTATTTTAGAGAGAGAGGAAGGGAAAGGGAGAGAGAAATAGAAACATTGATGAGAGAGAAACATAGATTGGCTGCCTCTTGCACCTCCCTATTGGGGATCAAACCCAAACCTGAAACCAGATCATGTGCCCTGACTGGGAATCGAACCAGTGGCCTCTTGGTGCATGGGATGATGCTCAATCCACTGAGCAACACCAGCGGGCAAGTCATATAATTTTAATGATACATTCATTATCTCAGTCATGTTTGATTAGTGGTCATTCTTAACTTAGGCTCAAAACTTTGTAATTACAGAAGGAAAAAATTTTTAATGTAAAATAAAATAAGATCCCAATGTCTGGGAGCACCAAATATTTCTGAGCAAACAAATATATTTGATAAGAATGAAACATGGGTTTGCTTCTACGCTGAACATTCTGGAACAGCATTTAAACACATCATGAAGGTTGTGTTTAATAAGGATGGAAATTGAGCAAAGCATTGAAGCAAATCTTCTGGTTTGACCAGCATGTTTATCATTTAGTAGTTTAATAGAATATGTTGTTACATAAAATGTAACATTAATAGGTAAAGTTTTGGCAATATATATTTACATTCTTATCTCTGGTTCTTACTGGCTTGGTTTCTAATTTTAGGGTGGAGATGGCCATTGTTCGGAGAAGAATTTGAAGAGGAGCAGATTTTTTGGGGGTAGCGTCTTTTAAATCTTAAAATACAAATTGGCAAGTCTTCCCTTTTTATTTTATATACAGTAGAAATGTAACGAGCTGTAAGTAGGCCATTCATCTGCATTAGCATCATTCCACTTCATTTTGTTAGCAAACCATTCGCTGTTTTCATCTTTCTTCTAAGAATTCTGTTGATGTGATGCTCTGATTTGAAATTAAAGTCATCTGTCTTTCTGCCTCTTTACTTGCCATGATTACTGAGAAGGTAACACATCCTGTCATAGGACACACTGTACTTAGACTGATCTCTGCCCTCTGCTAGTCACATAACTTTAAATGTCAATTATTCCCTAGGATGCTCAGGCTTTCTGAAGTGAGTTCTTCATGAAATGTCTGACCCATTGTTCTAAAAGCTGTTCAATAACATTAAATGATTAAACATATGTTCTGTTAGTCAGCTGTGAAAGTATTTATAATATTTTTAAAATATCTGTAAATTATATGATATTCAAGTGTTAAATTCTTTTATCCTTATAAACAACTACCAGCACTCTTTCAGTTTTCTAGTTCCATCAGATAGTGCTTTTGTGTGCTATAAACCTTTTTTATCTAATAAAACCCAATTATATACAACCCAAAAGAAGAATAGTGCCAAAATTCTCAATTGTCCTATTCTTAAAAAACAATCAAAAAACCAATAAAATGGGATTATCTGGTGTTTTACCAAAACACTACCTGATTTTTTATTTATTAAAAGTAGACATGAAAAACAAAGGAAAGCATAAATTGTATTATAATCTCTTTTATTTATTAATTACATTTTTACTTATTTTAGAGAGAGAAACATTAATTTGTTGTTCTACTTTATTTTTAATTATTTTTTATTTTTTGTTAATCCTCAACTGAGATTATTTTTTTAAAATATATTTTATTGATTTTTTACAGAGAGGAAGGGAGAGGGATAGAGAGTTAGAAACATTGATGAGAGAGAAGCATCGATCAGCTGCCTCCTACACACCCCTTACTGGGGTTGTGCCTGCAACCAAAGTACATGCCCTTGACCGGAATCAAACCTGGGACTCTTCAGTCCCCAGGCCGACGCTCTATCCAGTGAGTCAAACCGGCTAGGGCAACTGAGATTATTTTTCCATTGATTTTTAGAGAGTGGGAGGGAGGTGGAGAGACAGAGAGAGAAACATCAAGTATTTGGGCTCAGTTCTTAGACCTATTCTGTGTTCTGTCTACACTCCCTTGGTGAGCTTATCCAGATACATTGTCTTAAATATCTTTTATAATTTTTCATTTTTATTTATTTTTAGAGAGAGAGGAAAGGAGAGGAGAGGAAGGTAGAAACATTGATGAGAGAGAAACATCATCAATTGGCTGCTTCCTGCATACCCCTTACTGGGGATTGAGCCCAAAACCCAGGCATGTGCCTTGACCAGGAATCAAACCAATGAGCTCTTGGTTCATGGGTCAATGCTCAACCACTGAGCCACACAAGCTGGGCTTAAATACCATTCATAAACTGACTAGAGGCCTGGTGCATGAAATTCGTGCATGGGTGGGGTCCCTAGGCCTAGCCGGTGATTAGGGCTGGCCAGGGCCTTCCTCCCGGCTGCCAGCTGCCAGCTGCCGACCAGAGCCTGCCGGACGGGGGGGGGGGGGGGGGGGACTGTGGGAGGTTGGCCAGCAATGGGAGGTTGGCTGTGGGAGCGCACTGACCACCAGGTCAGTGCGGGTAATTCCTGCATTGAGCGTCTTCCCCCTAGTGGTCAGTGTACATCATAGCGACTGGTCATTCTGGTCGTTCTGGCATTCCGGTTGCTTAGGCTTTTATATATATATATAGATGACTTTCACTTCTCTGTCTCTAGACTTGACCCCTACACTCCAGACTCAGATTTCCAATTGCCCATTCGCCAGCTCCACTAAAATATATAAATATCTCAAACCTAACATGTCCAAGATTAAGGTCCTGATCTCTTCCACTTGTGTTTTTCCTATCTTAGTTAAGGGAACTCCATTCTTCCAATTGCTCAGGAGAAAAACCTTGTAATTCATGACTTCTCTCTTTCTCTGATGCTCCATATCCTTTCAACTCTACCCTCAAAGTATTTCCAAGATTTGACTACTTTTTACCCTCCTGCTATTCACAACATTTCTTGTTTATATTTTGTAGTAGTATCTTAACTAATCTCCTTGATTATACCCTTGTTTAACCTTCAGTCTCTTACCAACTCATTGCCTGGGTGTTTTGTTTGAATATATTCTTATTGATTTTTAGAGTGAGAAGAGGAGAGAGAAACATTGATGTGAGAAGGAAACATTAACTGCCTCCCCCACACACCCCCACCGGGGATTGAACCCACAACCCAACATTGTGCCCTGACCAGGAATCAAACTGTGCACACTGGCCAGGGCCGGGTGTCCTTAATACAGTTTAAATCAGACTATGTCACTGCTGTATTCAAAACCCCCCAATGCTTCTCATTTCACTCAGAGTAGAAGCCACAGACATTATAGTAACCTACGTGGCCCTACACAGTATGCCTCTGGCCCCTCTTTAACCTGATTTGCTGCTCTCTTCCTATTGCTCATTCTGTTCCAGGCCCACTGACCTCTTTGCTGTTCCTAGCTATGTTCCTGCCTTAGAACCTTAATTTTTGCTATTTCCTCTGCTTAGAAATTTTTCTCAGGTGACTGCGTGATTGCTTCTCTCCTTCACCTCCTTCCCATTGTTCATGACAACCTCTTTACTGGTTTTTACTTATATATGAAGACTTCTCTACCACATTTCCTTAACGTTACAGCTTTCCCCATTCATAATCCCCTTTTAATTTTTCTTTTTTTGTTTTTTTATAATTATTAAATCTTTATTGTTCAGATTATTACAGTTGTTCCTCTCTTTCCCCCCATAGCTCCCCTTCACCCAGTTCCCACCCCTCCCTCTGCTCTTACCACCCCCCCACTGTCCTCATCCATACGTGTATGATTTTTGTCCAGTCTCTTCCCGCACCCCTCACACCCTCCCCTCCACCCCGAGAATAGTCAGTCCATTCCATTTCTATGCCCCTGATTCTATTATATTCACCAGTTTATTCTGTTCATCAGATTATTTATTCACTTGATTTTTAGATTCACTTGTTGATAGATGTGTATTTGTTGTTCATAATTTGTATCTTTACCTTTTTCTTCTTCTTCCTCTTCTTAAAGGATACCTTTAAGCATTTCATATAATATTGGTTTGGTGGTGATGAACTCCTTTAGCTTTTCCTTATCTGTGAAGCTCTTTATCTGACCTTCAATTCTGAATGATAGCTACTCCCTTCTGGCCTGCATAGTTTCTGTTGAGAAATCAGCTGACAGTCGTATGGGTACTCCCTTGTAGGTAACTGATTTTCTTTCTCTTGCTGCTTTTAAGATTCTCTCTTTGTCTTTTGCTCTTGGCATTTTAATTATGATGTGTCTTGGTGTGGTCCTCTTTGGATTCCTTTTGTTTGGGGTTCTCTGCGCTTCCTGGACTTGTAAGTCTATTTCTTTCACCAGGTAGAGGAAGTTTTCTGTCATTATTTCTTCAAATAGGTTTTCAATATCTTGCTCTCTCTCTTCTTCTGGCACCCCTATAATTGGGATGTTGGTATGCTTGAAGTTGTCCCAGAAGCTCCTTACACTATCTTCATATTTTTGTATTCTTTTTTCGTTTTGTTTTTCTGGTTGGGTGTCTTTTGCTTCTTTGTATTTCAAATCTTTTACTTGATTCTTGCGATCCTCTAGTCTGTTGTTGGAACTCTGTATAATATTCTTTATTTCGGTTAGTGTATGCTTATTTTCTAGTTGGTCCTTTTTCATATCCTTGAAGGTCTCACTAGATTTCTTGAGGGTCTCACTAAGTTTATCGGCAGTTTCTAGAAAATTCTTGAAAAACCTTATAAGTGTGGTTTTGAACTCTATATCCTGTAGTTTGCTTTCCTCCATTTCTGTCATTTGTGACCTGTTTCTTTGTCTCCACA